AAAAAAGGTAGAGATTTGGTCTTTGTGGGATTGGATTAGTCTCGGAAAAAGAGACCGAAACATGGCACCTACTTTTTTAATAACACCCAAATTTGCCCACCCTGTACATATTCAAGTAATAAAGTCCTTAATTATTATTATCCTTGGTATAAATATAAAGTCACCAATTATTGATATAATGGACTTTTGGATGTAAGGGACACCCCTTTACCTGTATTAATCCATTACACATCAAGGTTTTACTATACTAATATTTTTATATAAATAAATTTTATTTTACACAACATTTTAATTAACTTAAATAACAATACATCTTAAGTTATAGGGTAATTTCAACATTTTTTACAACATTGGTCCAATCAATTTTGGATGGAGTAAGATAAAAAGCGGGGGCAACTTCACATCCGCATGGACAAGCACATCCCATCACCCAGCTGAACGATCCAACTTTATTGTTACATTTCGGACAATGTAATTTTCCTTGCACGGATTGCGTAATTCCGTTCATCCAACTTAACGGCTCCAAAAAATACGTTTTTCGACAAATTTTTTCATCGCTAATCTTTTCTTTATGCGTAATTAAATTAGATTCGCCAGCTAAAACTCTCCTACATCGTTTACATCTATAAACGTTTGGTTCCGGTTGGATTTGAGTGACACCCGGATCTCTTTTTATTAAATCGTGGTAATCTTGGGGGAGAATTTTAGCTTTCTTTACTTTATCCGCGGCACAAGTTAATCGATAATTCTTATAACGTAAATGATTCGGATTTACTTTATACAACATCTCTTCAAATAATATTAATTGAGTTACAAATCCACGGTTGGGGCAAACTATACTTCTTCGTTTTTTAACTTTTTTTAAAGCTTCTGTATAATTCAAATTATATTTTTTCATAATGTAAGCTATTATTATGGTCGCGCTGCGAGAAACTCCAAAATAACAATGAACCAAAACATTTCCTTTTGAAATACCGTTATTGATAAACTCAATCGAATTGGTGAAATGCGATAAAAGATCTTCTTTTGGTTGATCAGATAATTGAATAAACTTACTTGTTATATTCCTAATATCTAATACGTTTCTTGGGAGCGGTACGGTGTCTATCGTTAAAATGTGAGTTATTTCGTACTTATTTAATGTTGGAATATCCGTTGCTGCGGAAAGACTACCCAAATAAAGATTTTTCTCGATTAAATCTATGCTAACTGGACCACCGTTGAAATATGTGTGCAAAACATCTCCTTTAGGTACACTTTTTTCCATGATGGATGGTTATTTACTGGTTATTGATCAGATTTGGAAGGTTTTTATACGTTTTGCTGAGATTGTTGTGTATTAATCATAATCGAGATATTAATCATCATATTTTTTTAGAAATTGTTTTACTTAAAAAGGAGTTTTGTTGATTAAAAGCGAGATAAAAATGTTTTTACACGTTTGACACTTAACAAGTTAGGTTATGTTTGTGGAGTTGAATAATTTGTTGATAGATGGCACTAATTAAGACGGATATTTCAATTTTGATGATATTAATTTTATTTAAATAAAAATAAGTTACAACAGCGTTCAAGTTTCACATGACGATATCCGTAACAAAGTCTGAAGCACTATCCATAGCGAAAGAGCTGAGAAGATGCTACTTGGCGATATATACAGGTGTCCGAAAATTGCGTCTATATACAGACTGATTTATAACAAATTATAACTAGAGCTCGGATTTTTATGCAGTCAAATTATAGGAGATATGCAAGCTTTTTATTCGAAATATGCAAAAAAATATGCAAAAATATACCTTTCTTATAGGTGTTATCAATCGATTTCTATCACATTTTTGTATATGTTTTGCAATTTTCACATGATGTTCTATTTGGGACTTCCTCTCACACGTTATGTTAAAAAAGAATAATTAAAAAAGTTAGCCATAGATATTCTAACAGATTAAAAATCTAAATCTGAGACTATTATCTGAGACTTTCTTGGGAAGAAAGTGGGACATCAAATTTAATATAGTTTTAATTTAACAGTTTTCCATTTTTTTTTAACTCCTAGTGTAAAAGTCTATGAGAAATACAATTCCGTTGTCATCAAACCATTGGCAACTCCGCTGAAAACTCTAATTTTTAACTTAAATCTTTGGCTAAAACGTTACGACGTAATTTTTAAAAAAATACTTACAACTTTGACACAAGTTTTACAAAATAATTCCTCATTATTTAAATTTAGTTTAGGCAATGTTGTTACAGATTGGTAGATTACTCACACTGAACACAGCCACAGTAACTATGGTTGGGGATTTCCTTAAACTTAAACTCAACAGTAAGTTTTATTAAAAACTTAATAGGTTCTAAATAATAAAATAATAATAAATAAACCTTTTTTAGGTTCTCTCTCTTTCCCGCTGGACTAACCGAAGAAAAGTGTTTTCTGAAGGCATCTGTCGATTTGGAAATCGTTTCAAATACAGATCTCTTGCATGTGCAGCGTTTTCTCCAGCAACTCCATAAACAATAAGCATATCTACGTATTCTTCGTTACTGTACATTACCATTGTATTTTTTGATTAGTAAAAATTCTAATTTTGACGTTAAATGACATGTATATTAACTGTTAAATGACATGTCCGCTGCTAAGTAATCAAGTCAACTGGATTGGCAGCAATAAAAACAAGGTGTCAGCGGTTCTCAACAAAAAAACTCCAGTTTTTGGGCGTTTTAACAAATTTTTAAATAGCCAAACAGAAAAAACTGTACAACGGACTTCTACAAGACTCATTTCTTGCGCCTGTTTTAACCTATACACATCGGATCTATTAACCACAAGAGCAAAAATATTTAACTATGCTGATGAGCACTCACTGCATATCATAAAAGACCACTGAAGACATTTTCTGTAATAACCTGAGAGCTAAGTGGGGACTAACACAACCTAAAAAAGAAAATGGTATCCAATAGACTCCAGGTCAGTTTCCAGGTCATACTTAGTCGTCACCTTGGGCATATACAAGATCTGCGTAAGAACTGTTATGAATGACTTACGCTGTGCTAACAAGAGCTGAAAATTTAACTAAAATTAGAACTAAAACTAGAACTAACACTAGAAACTTTCGGGTTGTGCGTGTTTTAAGAAAAGGTTTGACGTTTCGGAAGCCATGTTGCAACTGATGACCTGGTGATCACAATTCGAGGTATATATAATATAATCATAACCCAACTAATGCAGAAAACCCTACTCCTTACTAGCACATGGTGCAGAAGCAGTGGACTCAGCATTAATTCAAACAAAGTCGGAGAAGCAAGCTGCAATTAAGCGCACCCTCCATTGAAGGCAGAACTATTAACCCCAAAACCGAAGTTTTAAACTGGAACTCCCACTTAAGTTAGTCAAGGTGAGGAAAAGGGCCATCATGGCTAACCAGATCTGACCAGGCTCCTTGGAACGAACTGTGGTCTTAAATCACGAATGGCTCACTGGGCCTACGTAGCAATAATCAGACCCATGGTCGACTGGTGGCCAAAAACTAAACACAAGACGGCATAACAACAGCTGGCTCAAATCCAGCGGTTAGCATGTCTTAATATAACCGGTGCAATGAGATTTTGTCCAACGGGTGCTCTTGAAGCCCTACTTTGTCTCACACCACTTTATTTATACATACAAAAGGAGGCAGCTTTAAGAGTCTTATCTTTGAAATTATGCTCTTCATTTAGGTTGATGCAGGGTAACCTCAGAGGACACCTCGAAATCCTCATAGACCCATGGCTAAACCACTTGATTGAAATTAAAACGACAGAATATAATTTAGACCAGCCGTATAAGGTCATATTTAGATACAGGGATGATTGGGCGAAGGGTGAGCCTCAACTTAAAAGAGGAGTCCTTGCTTCTGGAGAAGATATCGGCATTAGTATACCAAATAAGCGCATTAAATTGCCCATTAGCTTGGACATAACCATTTTTCAAGCAGTAGTTTTTGCTATAAACTTTTGCACGTACCAAACTTGTACTAAAGTTCGCCTCACACCTTACGACATAAAGGAACAAAAATTTAGAGCAATAGTATGGTCCCTAAACTTTTGGGGGGCTTAAGTTACAATAAATCTTACAGGTTGTGATGACGAGAGGGGTTGCTCCCCTCAGCCCGGCTAATTAATGATAATAATAATAATCCCAGTCACGTCTCTAGATTATAGAGTACAAGGCAAAGGCCTTAAAAAGAGGAAGAAGAAGAAAAATAAGTTTTTGGTTATGGAAAATTATTTGTTGCATCTCTTTTTATATTTATTTATTTTTTTTACGTTCTTCTGTTACATCCTCATTAACTTGAAACCGGGTGGTTTTGTGTTCCAATCATCATCATCATCGTCATCATCGTGTAGGAAATGTGCCGGACAATTATTATTGTCGGTGCCACGCACGAAAAACGAACGGAATGCCGGTGCCTAGAGAACACTTGCGCCCGTAGAACGCCGACGAATCCACCAATTTACTTCAATTAAGAGGACCCCATTACCATCAATTGATCTTAACTCGCTCAATTGGTAAATGTGTGGGGGTCATATGAGGCATAACATCTCGTCGAGTTTTACATTCACAAATAATACTTCTATCTATTTTTGAATTATAAAAATAACAAAAAAAGTAAAAGAAACGATTTGCCTTTTAAATTTTTTTTATCTTATTAGTTCATTTTAATATCTTATTTGGAGATGGAATGAAAAGAACCTGCATCAATTTACGAGACCAGCATATGTCAAAAAATGAAAAGGTATCGTCATCTTTCCCTCCCTCTCTGTATCAACCCCAAAAGACCCTTTTTATTGTACCGCTTAGTGGGTAGATATTCGTAAAAGTTATAAGGGTTGTACACGTGACCCGGACCTATATCTTTCTGTTTCTCTTGAAAACGCGCGTGTGAGTCTATAAACGCGGGTTCCAAAATTCCGAGATGCGGGATTCCCACACGTGACGATTTTAATGAGGTCTTGGGAACCAAAATCAAAACCAACAACTCTACAAGATCAAAAATGTTTCATTAAAATATCTTTTTTACACAAATGTTGTAATTAATTTGCTTTTATTGATAATCTAGTCCAAATTCTAGTTAGTAGAATCAAAAAATGGTTGATTTAAGATCTTAGGTAACTTAAGATTGTTATAATTCCTTGAAATGATTCGAATACTTTTTCACACACAAGATGACGCACGCACAGATTGAAGAGTTCAAAAGTCACACTTTTTCAACTATTAATAAAAACATTCCAGTCGGGGCTCGTAAAACTTGAATCTTCTCGCTTCTGATCCGACGGCAAACTTGTCTTCTATTTCTAACACTTTTAACAATCACTCAAATAATTAAAACTACTTAAAAAGCACATACTTAAAAATAAACTTTGATTATTAGAAAAAACCGATCACACTCAATAATACTATGAGGTACAAATTTGTTTAAAAATTGTAACAAAAAAAAAACTTGAAAAATGATGTTGTGAAACTGAACCAACCCCAACGACGTGCGTCTTCGTATTCGACTGGTCGGGAATTGTGGTGTGTAAAATGTTTTAATAGCAACAATTGGACAATATTGAGCTGGATTGCATTAAAGAATCTGTGGCTGTTAAACTAATATACTAATAGCTGCACTAATAGCTATTGTCGCTAATAGGCAAAAATTGGGTAAATTGATAAATTCTGTAACGAGCCGCGTTCGTTGGTTGGTCCGACGGTTTATTATAGCCCGCGAGAGATGGACCCCATTTATGGAGAACTGGGGGTTTTATCGTGGGGTGTTTCCTAAAGGAAAACGGCAATTCAAACCATTTAAACGACCACAAATGAAAAATAATTAAGACAAAACTTTATTGATTAATAGTGCTTCAAAAAAGTTTTAAGTAAATAAATTTGTTTCCGAATTTATGGACGAAATCTATTTGTGATTTTGATTCATTTTGTTATATTCTAGTTTAACAGATATGCTATGGACTAGTTATAAATCCAATATGTAGTTGTATGTCCCAAGTTGGTTTTGTAAGGCTATATCAGCATCATGTTAAACGTTATATCAAGCCATTAACGTCTCAAATGACATTAAATATTAATCAACTTGATAAACGTTTATAAAAAAGTGATGTTAAGATTAACGACGATTTGAAAGTATTTTTGGCCAATAGGTACTATTGAACCACTTAGAAAAAAGTAGTGTTTTCAATTTTGGGTGTGTGATTCTTTTTTGATTTACTGTGTGCTCATATTATGAAAGGATATTTTCATTCTACTGATGTTGAAGACTTCTAATCATTATGTCTTGTCTTTAGCACCAAAGGAAAGCTGGAAGAAACAAAAGGATAATATACATAACTGGAATGATGGGTTTCCTAAAAGTCAGAAAGACTTTTTGAGCCAATATTAATATTTAAATTTAGCACTAAACAAAACTAAATTGGCAACTATTGCAATGATATTAGTATTAATCGCAATCTCATTATTCAACAGATTTCGAGAGTCCACAAATTTGTTGGGTTGGGTTCCATCAAATTCAGTTCCTATTAATGAAGTCAACCGGTGAAGAATGAAACGCCGAATTTGCACAGTCTACAATATGAAAGTGATTTGGATAAAAATCCACAGGAAGGAAAATCCTAAAACTATGCTTTAGCAGTTGAAGTAAACATTACAACAAGAGTTCCAGCGGTTAGACAAATACGCGTTATTTTTATTATTACTTATAGCCGAGGTAAAAGTGGGTCTTATGAATATTATGGAAGGGTAATTTAAAAGAGAAAAAGATATTGAGAGTATTAAACAATGTTTAAGAAAAGCTCGAGATAACTAGCAATGTTTGATAGTTCAAATGGTTCGAACATACATGGTTTGCTCTGAGAGTAAGTACAAATACTGATTTGATAGTGACAATCACAAAGATTTTGGCGGGAAGATGAACAAAATGTATCCCAGATTAAATACAAGATTTGTCATTTTAAACTTAATTTGTGAAAATTTAAACTTGACAAGATAGGGGAAAGCAATTGAATGTGCAACATCGCTTAGGAGGTTGTTTTTTTTTGTAAAAAGTAAGCTAAGAAGAAAACCCGTCGTTTTCTATGTCTGGAAAATACACCTTCTCCTGGCCATGGACTGTCCACTTCTAAACTACCTTTCTTCATAAATTTAAACCCCTTCGAAAGTCTTCTTCATGGTCAGAATCAGATTCTTCCTTAAGTTTAGATCTAGAAGAAGATTTAGAACATAAACTAACTGACAATGACAATGTGCAACCCAAGAAAGGGAACATAATGCCGACAGTGAAAACTAGAAGTACCACTAATAGAATGCAGCATTCAGTTATTATGACACACCAGTCAGAGAAGAACTTGAAGAAAAGGAGGAAAATGAAGCTTGTGTAGAGAGTTAAGCGGTGTCTAGGTCAAGAAAAGAAGATTTCCAATGAAACGTGTCGTATATGTTATGATTTTAGAAAAACCAATTATGATGGAGCTGAAGTGCTATAGCGTTAAAAATGTCAAGTTAAACTTAAATTAAAGAACACTTTTAAATCAAACGTTAAAATGCACATTGTCAAATTGTTGTAATGTTGGTAACAGCTGGTAAGATAAATAGGAAATTTTGTTATATTATGTTTTGAAATCAATTTGTGTCAAGTTGACGTTTAGAAAAAGTTAATTTTTGGTTTTAGAAAGAGAAAACATCGCAATTTATTCGGAGTTACTGAAAATGTTACTAGAAATAAGAAAAACAACATAAATTTTATAATGACCTTAGAAAATACCAACGGAAACCCTAAAAATTTGACCTTGAAGAAAAATATATTGTAAAATAATATAAAAATTTAAGTAAGTATGACAATTAGCATTGAAGGTATACAATAAATCATCTAAAATAACATTTTTTAATGTTATGAGTACTTTCAAAATATGAACGAACTTCACATTGAAAAGTCAAAAAAATAACAATTTAATCATTATGACACTAATTTGTCAAAAATGACAGATTCAAAATTTGACATTTACTTTGATAATACATTAAAACATCAAAGAGTATCAGCTTAGAAACTTAAATAAGCAATTATTGTTTGAAAATAAACGTTGATTAATAATTAAAAGGAAAAATTGTGATAATAAACTGTCAAAAATGACATTTATAGTGTACTCACCTTTATTGACATTTATGACCGGTTTAGAATATCAAATTTTAATCTATATAAACTAAAAACAGCTAATTCGGTTCAATATTTCAGGATCATTACGTATATTAAGAAGTTGCTGTGACCCTAAACAATCCTTATACAGGGTGATTATCCATCTATACGCATAAACAATATAAATAAAATATATTCTTCATGACAAATAATGACTAATAGATGAAAAAAATTGTAGTAAAAGTTTTTTAGTTTCCTAAATATCCGATATAATCGGCGACATCTAGATAATCCTCTTGATTTTTACTTTTCGGGTTACTTAAAAAGCATAGTGTACGCCACGGAAGTTAATACTGAGCAAATATTACAAAATCGGATACATGCTGCTGCCAAGACAATCCGCCAACACCCTGGCACAATTATTCTTTATTTGAAAGTAAATATCACGGATATCTATGATCTACGGAACCATTCGTCATGAAGAGTAAATCCTTAAGTTTATGGGTATAGGTTGAGAATCACCCTGTATGTACTTAACACTTAAAAGTCAAAAACCACCTTGAATAATAAACATGAAGACTTACAGTAGAAAGAGTTTGATTTAACTCACTAATTGACACTAATTTATCAAAAATGACAATTTTAACATTAATTTTGACATTTACCTTAACAAAAAGCTTTTAACCTTCCTTACGTCAAAATCTACAGTTCAAACAAGTTTTAAAATTAATATTAAAGATTCGCAACCCTTATTATTAAGAAAATAAAAAATCGATTTCGTCGTTAGAGTCATTTTGACACTTATCTCACCGAATGAACATAAATACAACTCGTGCAGAGTAACCCTGTAATTCAACCTACTCTTTCCACACCAGTTTAATACGTGGGTTTGGTGCATTCGAGTTTAGTTAATCTCACATTATTGCAATAAAGTTAATAAAAATCTTAAATTTATCTTTTTTTTTTAGGCATTATGGAATTTATTATATCATGGACCTAAGAGAAAAAGATTTTAAAATTTATGGGCAACAATAACTTTATCTGCAAACATGGAAAGTTTTTGGGTAATGTGTAATATGTTGTAATGTTTAATAAAAATAAGAAAATATCTTATTCGTAATCCAGGAGAGTAATTGTTATATTAGTTAATGGTAGACAAGATTCTTAAATGATTGAGAAAAAGAAATGAATAAAAAATTTTTTTGGAAATAAAAATCCAAAATTCGTGCAGAGCCCACATGATCTATAAAAGAAACACGTGACCAAAAGGGTATAGAGTCGACTCCAACAAAAGCACCTCCCAAAACGTTCAAACAGTGGCCAATCAAACAACATAAACCCTTAACCATGAGAACTACGATTGGTTGGCTTCGAACCTACCATTTGAGCTCGTTAACTATAAATTGGTACAAATAATAATAACGAAAGTCAGTTTAGTCGACGCGGTGACGACGACGCCGATTTTCAACAACGTGATTTCTATCAATTAAATTTAAAAAAAGAATTTTGATTTTTTTTTGAGAAATGGATGGTCCCTTTGAAGACGGTTTTATTGATTATTCAAACCAACCTTTACCATCATTAAATAGTACGTTACTTCAAAATAAAGTGGGAAATCAAGAAAATTTGCACTCGATTCAAGTTATGTTGGGATTGCAACAACACAACGATATGTTTTCGGGAATGGGGAGTCCGTTGGAATACAAAGGTTCCCCACAAAATAAATTGGACGGCTCTCCGACGATGTCGCACCAACACCACCAGGAGTTGATGTACCACCAACCGCAAATGGAAACCGTTCAAAACGGAAATGGAAAAAGGAAAAACGAAGACGTCGTTTTGTTGCAAAGTCAAAATTTATCATCCAGCGAAATTGGAACTAGTGCCGGAAATGTTGGAACAACGACAACTTCCCAAAAGAAAAACGATAAGAAGAAAGGTGATAATAATGGGGTTAAGAAAAAGAAAACTAGGTAAATAATAAATTTAATAATATAATATACTCAATTGATAAGTTAAGACAACGCGGTGAAATTTAAAAAAGAGATATAATAGATAAGATGAAACATAGATAAAAAGTCTAAATAACAATGCCCCTATATAAAACTAATTGACCGTATGTTGTTTCGATTACACCTTAAAAATGATCCGGGTTAAGTTATAGGGGATGTAAATTTCACACCCTTAATAGTTAGGGCATAAAATTCATTCACCACGCTTTGCGTGCCTTTACAAATATGACCAACTGACGTCGCGTGCCAAAAAATAACACCACATGACGATTTTAAATGATAAAATCAAATGTATAAAATAGTTATATACAATTTTTTTTCTTCGACCCAACTCAAAATAGTTTGACATATTATCATTGACAGGGAACCAATTTTGTTTTTCCATAGCAGTCTTTGTTAGAAATAAAATTGTTTGATATGGACTTTTACCAAAGTAGGTCGATCATTCCGAAAATAGTTTTTCATTCTGAACAAAACTTCTTAGTAACACTTTCATGTACTGTAATCAGAATAGGTACTTTACCTGCCACAAAAAGAGTATTTGTTTCACTGCCAAGGCTCACTTGTTTTTTAAAAATTGAAAATATGTTCAAAATTAGTCCTTAATCAAGCAGGGCTAAAAAAAAATGAAAATTAATATCAAAAAAAAATTACCTTTTATAAGAGTCGTTTCATCTATTCGGGGACACACTGTATAAAAAACTATTTGCTATTTGCACATAAAGATTAAACAACACGCTAAAAAGATTAGCACTGGGCACAACGATTGAACATTTTAAATATAAATGTCAGTTTAGATCCTTTTTCAGTTCCCAATTTGTTTCTAAGCTTCAAAATCACCAAACCAAGTGAAGAAAAAATTCTTTCTACACTCGCGGATGACGATTGAGTAGTGATCAGTTGCTCAATAATAGGAAAAATGTCGACTTTAACAGCATCGATCGCTTGCTTTTGACTTTTCCACCATTCATATGCAGATACTTGAGTCATCACAGATTCGTTGAAAAATTGCTCCATGAATGGAGAAGCTTTGGCTTGAAACTTAATTATCAATGACAGATAAAAATTTGATGCATATTTCGAACTTGCATAACCCAACCCAATTCAGCATTATTAATTTGCTTTGGATGAGGCATATATACAAGAAAATGAGAATTTTTCTAATGATTTCGTCTTGTGTAACATCCCAGAGTTCTTTTTTAAGTTTTTTTTCACGAATACACAGAATAGGCAATACCTATTCAAGACCTATTCATTGCTTTGTGCATCAAGTGTTACAGAAATTAGCAATAGTGCTAGTGTTAGTTCTAGTTTTAATTGTTATTCTGGGTTAGATTGTTGTATATTTTTCATTGGATTAGCACCAGAACTAACACTAGACCGAGAACTAGAAACATTCGGACTTAGCCGTCTTAAGAGACGTACGGCTAAACCCGAATGTTTCTAGTTCTAGGTCTAGTATTAGTTCTGGTACTAGTGTTAGTTCTAGTTTTAGTTGTTAATCGGTTTACATTCGAGTTTAGCCGACTTAAGAGACGCATGGCCAAACTAATAATGTTACATATAACAGACTTTTGGCTATAACGGACACTCCCTTCCCTGTATTAGTCTGTTATATCGAGGTTTTACTGCATCTTTATTTTTTTTACATGCTAACGTTCACTTTTTGAGAGCATCGCATTTGTAATTTTTTGTACAAGACTTTGTATTAAAGTTCCAATTTACATTTTTCCCATTTCTAGAAAAACATTTAGTAACGGCGTCCATTTTTATGTAACACGCCTTGACTGCAGAAAATTATTATAAATTTTCGAACTACTAGTAATATATAAAATTTCCATAAACAATTTAAAGTTTTACTGACTTAATGATCACAATGCAAGAATTTTGTATGTATCTCTTTGGGAATCGTGGCCATGACAGGGCAGTAAAATTTAGGATTTAGCAAAACGAAACATTCGTGATTGTGGCACCATCATTCCGTCAAAGGTACTAAAAAAGCAAATTGGTGGGGTGCTTACGATTATAGGTCAGATGTTTCGACAGTTCAGTTGTTACAATTGCAAGTAATTATTTCAAAAAAACAATTAGGGGTGTAAAATCAGAAAAGAATAAGGAAATTGTGCAACCCAATATATTTAGGAATTACAATATGGGGTTGGGTGGTTTTTGACCTGGTCGAACGTCTATGTGCTTGTAGCAGTATTCCGATTCTATTAACACCTGAATCCCTAAGAGAATGTTTCATGCTGAGAATTTCGATGAAATGTTGCAATGACTCTGATGAAAGTTGGTTCAACTGAGCGGAAAAGAATAAGTGGGGCAGCTACAACGGTACGAAGGGATATCAGATTTGATGATATAAATCACATACCTGTTGCCATCACTCAAGGACTATCTGTTGTTTGCCAGAGGAATACTAGATTAGAATGTACAAAATGCAAAAAACGACTCCATAAAAGTTATTGTTTTGAATACCATTCAAAAAGCTAAATTCTATTTACTTTTACATAGATAGCAACCTATATTTTGGGAATTACTGCAACTGCATAAAATTTAGTAATTAATAATAGACACAAATAAAATATTTTTGTTATATGAACAACTTGTAACACCATACAAGGCTTTAAAATCATAATTAAACATCTCCATCTAGTAATTAATACTAAATTATATTTTTATTTTCAGAACAACATTTACGGCATTTCAATTAGAAGAATTAGAACGTGCTTTCGAAAGAGCACCATACCCAGACGTTTTTGCTCGCGAAGAGCTCGCCTTAAAACTCAATTTGAGCGAATCTCGCGTTCAAGTTTGGTTCCAAAACAGGCGCGCAAAATGGCGCAAACGCGAACCACCCCGAAAAACAGGTTACATAACATCAAACTCGCCCAGTTCGACAATTTCCACAAATTTCAACAATCAAATCAACACGTTTCCGCAATCCACGAATTTAAACGCAACGCCACCTGTCGATTCGTGGACGTATCAATCGTCGTACGCCGATTTGACACATCTCAATATATTGAATACGGCGCCATCTGGTTATCAGAGTTTTGGATCGCCGCAAAATGGGTATTCTTATATGTTGAATGCGCACGATAGTCAGTTGTTCGCGGCCCCGCCGCCGCCACCACCACCGTCGATGCGAGAGTATCCGAATCAAAGTCCACCGTTGGCGCGGGAATATTCAATGCTTTCGGGACATTCGCCGGAAACGGATGATGGAAAAATTGAGTATGTTAGCCATACTCTAGGGAATTCCCCGGAACGATATGCTAATTTATCACCGAAATACGAAGTTAATTTATTACAGGAGGTGAAGGGGGAGTTTTCCGATGGAAGGTTAAAAGAACAAGTTAAAATAGAGGGAGGGTCAAATCAAACGTATGTTGCTTTACCGCCGTTTTTAAATTAATAATAATATATATATATATAGGTATGTATTATCAAAAAAAACACATTTTTTTTCGAGTCTGAGCAAAAAGATCAATAAAAAAAAACAAAAATAGACCTTGTTACAAATGTAAATGTGAAGAAATTAGGGTTATAGTGTCAATGCCAAAGATATAAAGTTAGATTCGTTTTTTTTTTTTATTTTGAGTTGGTCGCTCTAAAATATTTTCTTTTCTTCTTTTGGCTCTATCAAAATTAACATAAATAGATATGCAAAAATTATTTTATTAGGTTAATATGGGATTTTCCGTATTTTTGTTTTTACTAAATATCAAACGATCCCTATACAGCGTTTACAGTTATCTTAAGAACATTTTGACGTTTTTCTTCCTAATTTATATCCGCTATAATTACGTGCTTTAATCTTAATGAAAAGGTCGATATTAAATGTTATGTTGAGTAAATTTGGTAAAAACCCAAGTCAAATTATGTACATAAATCAAATTTACATAAAAAGTAAACGTTTCTTGCCGTGAATAGTTTGCCATATTATTGTAGAAAATAATAATAGTCCATGAAATGATTGTAATTTATTTTATTATACGGTTTAAATTGTTTAAAAAGTTAGATTAAACATATCGTCTTTAATGTTTCCCATTTTAAGGTTGTGTTTTTCACAAATTTGAATCTAGTTTAACTATATTCCGAACATATGACTATCTATCTGACTACTTATGATATTTAACCCTTTAATGCACATTTTTTTAAATAATATGAATTAATAAAGAAATATTTAAAAACATCCATTGCAATTCAGCTACAAAAGTAATGTTATTATTCTAGTAGCATAACTTTATTTAAAGGTGTAAAACTATTTACACCTTTAAATGTTTTTTTTTATTATTTAATTATATGAAAAAAAGAATATCGGTTGCTGACAAAATCAGCATTTTGAATTGTTGCTCGCAAATAACTGGCTTCAAGTTCAATGTTGGCTTTTAATTTTTGCAAAGTTGTTAATTTGTAACCATTTTCTCCTCTTTTTATTTATATCTAGCTGCACGTAATTCATTGTTAATTCATGTATTGCACTTAAAATTACAACGAAGAACAATAAAATACTAAGTAGTCAAAATTGTAGAGTGGAAGTGCTTGTATTTGAAGTTTTCACAACCTGGCTCCACTACAATTGAGAAAATTCCATAACAGTAGCGGTATTAATATGTTCTTCATCCGAATTTGAATTAAATAGTAAAAAGCTGATAAAACTGGTTAATTTCATTATTTCCCATTCATATGAGATAGAAAAATAGCAGTAGCCATGCGTAACCATGGCAACCAATTGTTTTATTAAAGACAATGATTACTTTTTAAAACAATTGGTGGCCATGGTTACGCATGGGTGCTGCTATTTTTCTACCTCACGAAAATTGGAATTCATACGTTACTTTTGGGAAACACTGTATATGTAAAACAGTATGCATAACACAAATGACATCATCAACAAATTATACTTAATATTGTAGTTAATTTATATTAACAAATTGTAGTAAATGTGCAGTAAAAGGTTCATTTAGTATCCTTGGAAATGATTTTCAACAAGAATTAGGATTGATTACGATTAAAACTGATTTTAAACGATTTTCAAACTGTCATGAAACCCAAAATAACGTAAAGTTATCTATTATACAGGGTGTTTATTAAACATGCGGCAAAAATTCATTCTTTGGACTATTCCAAAAATATTTTATCCGTTGACAATTTTGGAAAAACCGGTTTGCTTCGAAGATACAGCATGAACAAAGATTTCAACAACATTTTATTACTAAAAATTACGAATATAAGCTTTCTAATCTACAATAAGTTGAAATTGACCACCTCCAGCTAACATATAAGAATCCAATCTTCTCCTCATTGACTGCCGAACCTTTTCAAAAACACCAGAATCGTTTCTTATTGATTACAGCCAGCAGTTATACGATTTCGCTAGTCTTCCACATTTCCACAAAACTTACGAGCAACCTTAGTCAAATACGCTGGTGCACCATTGTGCATAAACCACATTGAATTTCGTATTGCCAATGGTACATTCTCTAGAAACTGATGTAACGTTTGTTCCAAAAACTTGCAATACACTTCGCCAGTAAGCCTTTTTTGTAGAAATACTTCTCCAACTAGCCAGTTACTCACAATTCCAACCCAAACGGTCAACGAGAACTGAGGTTGAAATCGTTCTTCACTTAGCTTCATCAGTAAAAATAATCAAAGTCAGTAATTGAGGGATTTGAACCAATTTGCCCAAGAGCTACTGATAGAATGCTAAACGTGGAAGAAAATCAGCAGGTAGAAGTACTTGAATGCGTTGTCAATGGTATGGGTACAACAAATATTTTTTAACAATTTTCCAAACAGTCCCATTACTTACATTCAAAGTATTTGCAATTATTCGAGTTCAGAAATGCCTGGTTCTTCTTTTATTGTGTTCAACACATTCTCTTTACATTCTGTCATTGATTTTCTTGATCCTCCACTTCCTTTCAATGAGCCTGTTTAATGAATTACCATCAGCAAGCCCACAAATAAAATGCAAGTCAGTCATCTAAAAATGATTCTGCTGAAAATTTTGTTTTGCCCTATATCATTGAAACAAAGCGGATTTTCAAAAATCATTATTCTTTCTTTCTGCAGTTCTGCCTTTCCAATTTCGCACCTCCATTCTTCGAAGATTCCTCTCCAGTTTATCCTTGTAGCGATTTCGAGCTACTTTCCCTGTTATGTTAGACTCGAACATTCTTCTTGATAGCCAGTGATTTGCCATTCTCATGACATGTCCAATCCACCTGAGACGTTAGGCCTTTATGAAGCATACAATGTTTTCTCTCTCTAAGATATCTTCAATCTTTGCGTTGATATTGATCCGAATATTCGTCTGATTATTTTTCTTTCAAAAATTAGAAGTTTTTTATTATCGTTTGCTGTTAGGCTTTATGTTTTTGATCCATATGTGGCAACCGACCTAATCAGAGTTTATGTATATCCTGATTTTGTTTGTTCTGGAGATGATTCTAAACCTGATTAAGTTTTTGTTAGCGTAGTAAAAAGTTCTTTTTTGTTAGAAATTTTCGAGATTTTCGAAGGCTGCATCTTCGATACGATGTCATGTCTATTTCGTCCTTGTTCCTTTGGTGACAAAATACTTAAAATAAAATTTTCACCTCGTTGTAAATTTCTCTGCGTTGGTTTTCGTTCCTGGCAATAATGACGATGTCATCTACATAAGCAAGGATCATATTGGACTTGTAGATAATTGTCTCACTATCCACGATGTTTGTTAGTGCTGCTTTAAGTGCCAGGTTGAATGATGTGGCTGAGACCTTGTCTTACTCCTCTACTCAATATGAACTCTCTGCCTTAGCATTTTGTAGTGTAGTCTAAAAATCATTAAAGGACAAAATATTCTTAGAATAACGCCTTGAATAAACATGAAAAACTAACAAACATGCAAAAAATCTTGATATGAATAAATTATAATGAATTGATATTTTGAAAAGTAAAAATTAAGTTTTAATTCGTTTTAAATCCGGTTTAAATATAACCTTAATTTTTTTTATAAATCGATGGGTCTGTATAAATATTGTTAAATTACAATCATTTTAATTTAGAATACTATTTTTAATGTACCAAACTGTAAATATTTATTTAAAAAATAAGTTGGTATTTTAATATTTTTATATAAGATTTTTTTTTAAATATATCTTATTAAATAATTTACATGCATTACAATTTTAACCTTGTCAAATTGGCAACGGTCAAGTGAACACCGCTAACTTCCTGTTAATCTCAAAAAATAACAAATAAAAAAATCAACAATCCCATTTAATAGTTACATTCAAACTCGTTGTATTGTTTAAAGTCACGTTTTTCCATCCACTTCCTAGTACCCGTAATAGTTAATACTTTTATAGTTCTTAGATGTGGGAGTTCTTTTTGTAAATTCTATTTTTGTTGTTTTATTAATTGTTATTCATTGATAAATTTCCGGATTGTAAATTTCGCGAAATTGCATACAACCTCGCCCGTATTGTAAAACGAAACAGAAATCCCAAACGATTCGGTGCGGTTTTTGAATTGGAAATCCCACTCTTGTAACATTAATCATTATAAAAAATAGCACCGAGCTAAATCTTCGTGGATCGACCAAGAGACGTATAATAAAAGAAATAAGTTTTTGTACTAAATACATCACGATTTCTTTTACGTCATAAAGATAACATAAAAAGTACTTCTTCAAGCTAAATTTAAATTTAAATGAGCGGAAAAAGTACTTTTAAGCGATCCGAATCGAGTTAGACATCGTTGGAAAGGTGACACGCGATGTATAAAACTTGTTTTCTTGCGGAGTGGCGCTCAGTGTGATTGCCAGAGCTGCGCGGTGTCGTTTACTTCTTTAGTGTTAAGTGTGTTTAAGTGTTTCAAAAAAAATTTTAAGAGGTGCGTAGTAAAATGCCGATTAATTACACCACCACATTATTTGTGCTCCAAAAATTTTAATTGTTTAATTTTAACAAAATTTATTCGATTCGCTTCATCAACACTTTATCAATAACCTTCAAAATTTATCGCTTTAAATGATTATATTAACACGGTCTTTATCCTCAACACGTTCATATCTGTTTCTTTGTTTATCTTTGTTTTATTTAACATAAAATTTTCTTAGAACCCAATAAGATCCGTGAAACGTCTTTTACATTCATATAAGAAAATAATTAGTGATGATGCAAGGAAAAACCGGAAATCTGAAGAAAAAAAAACGTTCACCTCGATTATGTAATAATCAAACATCGGGGAATTCTTTCGTTTCGAAATCAAAACGGTTTAAAATTCAAGTGACGTTTATCTTTCGATTTTAAAATTCAAAACATGAATAGTTTCAAATAAATTTAACTTTTGAAATAGTAAAAAAGAAAAAAATTTAATTAAAAGAAAAATGGAGCATAAAAATTCGAGAAAGTGTTTCATAAAAACCCCTCTTTCTCGTCGATGAGTTCTTCGCTTTTCATGTGCCACTTTCCCTTACATATGAGTCATATCGTTTCAACGTTGCAGATAAAAATGTGGAACATCATCTTAACCATTTTCGTTACCGTCTTCTACGAAATTCAAGGACAATGCCTGACCGTACAAGATCATAAGAGCCCCCAAATGAACGCCAAACAAAACCTCTACAGCGGCGAGCAAGAGTTTTCCTTGAACTTATTAAGAGCTGTTAATCAACTGGGGCCGAACGATAATCTTTTTTTCTCACCTTACTCCACTTACCACGCTTTGTTATTGGCCTATTTTATATCAGGGGGACAAACGGAGAGTTTTCTTAAGAAAACTTTGAGGTTAGATTCCTCCATGGTGAGTAAGAATACCTGAAACGTAATTATTTTATATTTGAACTTTCTCGTTGTATGCTTTCTCTATGTTAATTGTATCTATGTTTATTTACGATGAATATGCAGGTTGTTTTTTTTATAATAATATGTTTAAAATTAAATATAAACATTCATTAATGACATTTGATTTGAAAATTTAATACCAACTGTCAAAACAGAAATTTTTATTTAAATCATCTAAAAATTTATTTATTTTTAATTAGACAATTAACATTGAGAAATTGTTGTTATAAATAATTTTAAACGTATCGTAGTAATTCTTATTAATATTTAAAAGAAAAAATTAATTTTTAAATTTGACAGATAAATAAATTTACTTTTATTATTAAATTAACCTTGAAAAATCATGATTATTTATAAATATAAACCCAAGGGATAACTTATAATTAATTTTTTTAATTATTTCTTGTTATTTAAACTTTTTTTTTTAATTTCACATTTTATTACCACCCGTTAAAAATTTAACACAAAATTAAATATAATCAACCAACCATCTAAAAGTTTATTTATTTTTAATTAAACAATTGATATAGAGAAATTGTTATTATAAATAATTTTAAACGCATTATAGTAATTATTATTAATATTTAAAAAAAAAATACAAAAATTAATTCATTTTTAAATTTGACAGATAAATAAATTTATTTTTTATTATTAAATTAACCTTGAAAAATCATGATTATTTATAAATATAAACCCAAGGGATAACTTATAATTAATGTTTTTAATTAATTTTTGTTATTTAACATATTTCATTTAATTTCTCATTTTATTACCAACCGTTAAAAATTTAACACAAAATTAAATGTAATCAATCTAAAAATGTATTTATTTTTAATTAGACAATTAACTTGAGAAATTGTTATTATAAATAATTTTAAACGTATTATAGTAATTATTATTAATATTTAAAAAAAAATACAAAAATTAATTAATTTTCAAATTTGACAGATAAACAAATTTACTTTTTTTTATTAAATTAACCTTGAAAAATCATGATTATTTATAAATATAAACCCAAGGGATAACTTATAATTAATTTTTGTTATTTAACATATTTTTTTTTAATTTCACATTTTTATTACCAACCGTTAAAAATTTAACACAAAATTTATTTATTTATAACACTTTTCGTTTAATTCTTAGGATAAATCCGATGTGATGAACGCTTACAAATTAGATAAATACATCACTCAATCGATAGCAAAATCAAATAGTTCATATGAATTTACAAACGCAAACCGAATCTATGTAGATAAAGGTATTGAAATAAGAGACTGTATCGAAGATCTTTTCCGAGAAGAATTTGAAAAGGCCAATTTTGCAACAAACCCCGAAGGGGCTAGACTTACAATAAACAATTGGGTTTCACAACAAACTCATAACATGATTAAAGATTTACTTCCACCTGGGGTAATCGATCCCCAAACCAATCTAGTTTTGGTCAATGCGGGTTACTTTAAGGGCAGTTGGAAATATGAATTTAATGTTTCTAATACTAAAGAAGAAGTATTTTATATAACCCCGTCAAAACAAACAATTGTTGATATGATGTACATGGAAGGTGTGCTTAGTCACGATGTTTCAGACGTCTTGGATGCGCATATTTTAGAATTACCTTACAAAGGAGAAGAAATTAGCATGTACATTTTACTCCCACCATTCGTTAAAGAGGATGGTGTTGATAATACTTTAAAAAAACTCACGCCAGAAAGATTCCAACACATGATTAGGAATCATAACACGTTATTAGGAAAAACTGTTTATTTATCTTTACCAAAGTTCAGTTTAGAAGATACAATCGAAATGACACCGGTAAGTCGTATTATGTTTATTTTATTACACAATTATGACATATTCAATAAAATAAAGTCTATTTAGTTTTGAAATTTGACATTTAGAATTGTCAAAATTGACAGGTTAACCTAAAAAATTAATTTTATTGAATATTGACGTAGATTATTGCTAACTATTTTTGCTTTGGTTTTTCGGGGATTCTATTTTGAAAGTCTTTTTAACACTTTTTTTTCGGGTATATAGATACTAGAATCGTTGGGTGTGGGAAACTTGTTTCATTCGGATGCCGATTTCTCGTTGTTGAGCAATAAACAGAAGGTTTCTTTGGGAGCCGGAGTGCACAAAGCGCGGATAGACGTCGATGAAAAAGGTTCTGAAGCGGCGGCCGCCACTGCTTTGTTCACTTTTCGTATGATGACCGACGAAGCGGACGATGATGCCGTTATATTCAAATGTAACAGACCGTTTATTTTCTTGTTGTACAACAAAAAAACTAGTACGATCATGTTTATTGGTATCTATAGGAATCCGAAGTAATCTTTTACATTATTTTTTATGTAACGATGTGTTTGTTGTACATACTTTTTAATTTGACTAAAAAAACTTCTTCTTTGACTTGCCATAAAACTAATAATAATTAAAAAGAAAAATAACCAATTGTGATTATTAAGTAATGTAGATTTCTTAAGTAAATAAAAACTAACTATGTTGTTAAATTATACTTATTTTTATTTATTCATTTTATTGTATAATTGGTTGCCTAATTATACAAATTTAAAATGACAATTAATAATGTCGATAAAATAGAAAACGATTGTATTAAAAATTTTAATTATTTTTAGGTTCTTCAAAAATTAGGTGTAGGTGATTTATTTTCTGAAAGTGCTAATTTTTCAACGTTAACCAACCGAAATGTAACGTTAGGAAGTGCGTTGCATAAAGCGAAAATTGAGGTGAACGAGCAAGGAACTGAAGCTGCAGCTTCAACAGTATTATTTACTTTCCGTTCAAGTAGACCTATAGAACCAGCTGAATTTAAATGTAATCATCCCTTTATTTACATTATTTACGATAAAATACAAGACGCCGTTGTTTTTATGGGAGTATTTAGAAGACCATATTAACATTAAACAAAGATTTCGAGAGAACTGAAATTTTAGTTTTTTTCATTTTATGTTCGTTTTATTACCAATGGTAGTTTTAATTTAAAATAATTTGTAATGTTACTTTAGTATTTATTGGACTTCTTAATTTTCCTCCTTTTAATTAATTAAGCATGAAAGACATTTTTTTAAATACGAAAACGAACGAATGTAGGTTACCAAAATAAAAAAAATAAAGAAATTTTATTACAACAAAACGTTTTTGATTTAATTATAAATATTAGAAATGTTTTTATATTGATAAATATAAAAATTAGATTTAAAAACATTGAAAGTGGTGCCATCTATTTAATCCAATTTGTATTTGAAGGTGTACATTTCATTAAATTGATTAGTTGATTCATTAAATTATAGATGGCGCTTACATTTAAATTAAATTTTATACATCATTATTAAAAATTAATTACAATACAATCCTTTAATTTAGATATCGTATCTTTCATGATTTATAAATCATTAATATCACATTAAATGATTATAAATTAATAACGGTAATAAGATTATTATTTATGGCTTCGCTGAGACTTTATTGGTTATGTCAAGTAGTCGAGTCATGTTTAATAAGTTCTTAACATACTTTTAAATCATTTTTAAGCGGATTTACGTCGTAATTAAAATAATCAATAAAAAATAGGGACAATCAATATGAAGGTATAATAATAGTTATTAAAAAGTACTTACAGTTTTGTTTTGATGGATATAAAAATTGACGTTTAAAATGATTGATGAGAGTGACATCTCTTGGAGAATTTTATTTTTAAAAAACTAATTATTGAAAAATTGATAGTTATAAGTTGTATGGAATATTAAAAAAACACAATTATTAATTAATTAATATAATTAAATTTAAAAATTAATTTGAAACCCGTTAAAAAATGATTTATTTTGGTTAAATTGATTAATTCATTCATTAAATTATAGATGGTGCTTACAGAAATTGTCAAATTTGAATTTAATACATAATTGTTAAAATTTAATTAAAATGTTAATAAGATTATTATTTATGGCTTCGGTACGACTTTATTAGTTGTGTAGTAGTTTTAGAATGACTCATTTTTGATAAGTTCTGCGTCGTAATTAAAATTGACATTTAAAATGATTGAGGAAAGTGACATCTATTGGAGAATTTTATTTGTATAAAAACTAATTATTGAAAAATTGATAAATTTCAAAATAAGGTGTATAGAATATTGAAAAAACACAATTATTAATTAATTAATATAATAATTAAATTTAAAAATTAATTTGAAACCCGTTAAAAAATGATTTATTTTGATTAAATTGAATTATAGATGGTGCTTACATTTAAATTAAATTTTATACATCATTATTAAAAATTAATTACAATACAATTGTTTAATTTAGATATCGTATCTTTCATGATTTATAAATCATTAATATCACATTAAATGATTATAAATTAATAACGATAATAAGATTATTATTTATGGCTTCGCTGAGACTTTATTGGTTATGTACTTAACATACTTTTAAATAATTTTTAATCGGATTTGCGTCGTAATTAAAATAATCAATAAAAAATAGGGACAATCAATATCTTACACTTTTGAGTTTATGGATATAAAAATTGACATTTAAAATCAATGCGGAGAGTGACATCTATTGGAGAATTTATTTTTATAAACACTAATTATTGAAAAATTGATAAATTATTATATGGTGTATGGAACATTGAAAAAGCATAATTATTAATTAATTAATATAATAATTAAATTTAAAAATTAATTTGAAAATCGTTAAAAAATGATTGAATTTGGTTTAATTCATCAGTTCATTCATTAAATTATAGATGGTGCTTACAGAAATTGTCAAATTTGAATTTAATACATAATTGTTAAAATTTAATTAAAATGATAATAAGATTGTTATTTATGGCTTCGCAGAGACTTTATTGGTTGTGTAGTAGTTTTAGAATGACTCATATTTGATAAGTTCTACGTCGTAATTAAAATTGACATTTAAAATGATTGAGGAAAGTGACATCTATTGGAGAATTTTATGTGTATAAAAACTAATTATTGAAAAATTAATAAATTATTATAAGGTGTATGGAACGTTGAAAAAACACAATTATTAATTAATTAACGTAATAATTAAATTTAAAAATTAATTTGAAAATCGTTAAAAAATTATTTAATTTGATTAAATTGATTAGTTCATTCATTAAATTATAGATGGTGCTTACAGAAATTGTCAAATTTGAATTTAATACATAATTGTTAAAATTTAATTAAAATGATAATGAGATTATTATTTATGGCTTCGGTACGACTTTATTAGTTGTGTAGTGGTTTTAGAATGACTCATATTTGATAAGTTCTGCGTCGTAATTAAAATTGTCATTTAAAATGATTGAGGAAAGTGACATCTATTGGAGATTTTTATTTGTATAAAAACTAATTATTGAAAAATTGATAAATAATTATAAGGTGTATGGAACATTGAAAAAACACAATTATTAATTAATNATAGTATTTCTATTTTATCTCATTATTGGCGCCTTCATTTTATTATTAAAAAAATAATTCAAATAAAATTAGGTAATCTCTCATTAAGATAATCAACCATATAAATATAAAATGACATTTCTAATTAATATAATAAAGTATTATTGGCACTTTTTAGATTATAAAATAACTTTATTTTTTAAATCTAAATAATGACATTTTAAACTCAAAAATGATATTGTTGATGACGAAATAGTATTTATCTCTTTGTAAAGAAATAAGACGTCAATTTAATTCTTTTTAGGTTATGTCTAACATTTCTAACCTAAATATGACATTTATAAGCGGCTAATGACGTTTTAAATGACAACTTCTCACTTTGTAACATAAAAACGATATTTTAAACATCAAAATAGCACTTTGAAACTTAAACATTACATTTTTAATCAAAATATATATATTTTAAACGTTCTAATTACATCAAAATGGTAATTTCTAATTTAAATATGACATTTATAGGTTTGACTGATGTCGTTTTAAATGACAACTTGTTACTTTGTATCATAAAAATGATATTTTAAACATCAAAATGGAACTTTGAAACTTAAACATTACATTTTTAATCAAAATAATGATATTTTAACGTTCGAATTACTTTTTAGAGCAATTGAAATAATATTTTTGGTGACGAAATAATGTTTATCTCTTTATAAAGAAATAAGACGTCAATTTAATTCCTTTTAGGTTATGTGTGACATTTCTAACCTAAATATGACATTTATAAGGGGCTAATGACGTTTTAAATGACAACTTGTCACTTTGAACATAAAAATGATATTTTAAACATCAAAATGGCACTTTGAAACTTAAACATTACATTTTTAATCAAAATATTTATATTTTAAACGTTCTAATTACATCAAAATGGTAATTTCTAATTTAAATATGACATTTATAGGTTTGACTGATGACGTTTTAAATGACAACTTGTCACTTTGTATCATAAAAATGATATTTTAAACATCAAAATGGAACTTTGAAACTTAAACAGTACTTTTTTAATCAAAATAATGATATTTTAACGTTCGAATTAATTTTTAGAGCAATTGAAATAATATTTTTGGTGACGAAATAATGTTTATCTCTTTATAAAGAAATAAGACATCAATTTAATTCCTTTTAGGTTATGTGTGACATTTCTAACCTAAATATGACATTAATAAGTTGGGGCTAATGACGTATTAAATGACAGCTTGTCACTTTGAACATAAAAATGATATTTTAAACATCAAAATGGAACTTTGAAACTTAAACATTACATTTTTAATCAAAATATTTATATTTTAAACGTTCTAATTATATCAAAATGGTAATTTCTAATTTAAATATGACATTTATAGGTTTGACTGATGACGTTTTAAATGACAACTTGTCACTTTGTATCATAAATCATAAAAATGATATTTTAAACATCAAAATGGAACTTTGAAACTTAAACATTACATTTTTAATCAAAATAATGATATTTTAACGTTCGAGTTACTTTTTAGAGCAATTGAAATAATATTTTTGGTGACGAAATAATGTTTATCTCTTTATAAAGAAATAAGACGTCAATTTAATTCCTTTTAGGTTATGTGTGACATTTCTAACCTAAATATGACATTTATAAGGGGCTAATGACGTTTTAAATGACAACTTGTCACTTTGAACATAAAAATGATATTTTAAACATCAAAATGGCACTTTGAAACTTAAACATTACATTTTTAATCAAAATATTTATATTTTAAACGTTCTAATTACATCAAAATGATAATTTCTAATTTAAATATGACATTTATAGGTTTGACTGATGACGTTTTAAATGACAACTTGTCACTTTGTATCATAAAAATCATAATTTAAACATCAAAATGGCACTTTTAAACTTAAACATTACATTTTTAATCAAAATATTTATATTTTAAACGTTCTAATTACTTTTTAGAGCAATTGAAATAATATTTTTGGTGACGAAATAATGTTTATCTCTTTATAAAGAAATAAGACGTCAATTTAATTCCTTTTAGGTTATGTGTGACATTTCTAACCTAAATATGACATTTATAAGGGGCTAATGACGTTTTAAATGACAACTTCTCACTTTGTAACATAAAAATGATATTTTAAACATCAAAATAGCACTTTGAACTTAAACATTAAATTTTAATCAAAATATTTATATTTTAAACGTTCTAATTACATCAAAATGGTAATTTCTAATTTAAATATAACATTTATAGGTTTGACTGATGACGTTTTAAATGACAACTTGTCACTTTGTATCATAAAAATGATATTTTAAACATCAAAATGGAACTTTAAAACTTAAACAGTACATTTTTAATCAAAATAATGATATTTTAACGTTCGAGTTACTTTTTAGAGTAATTGAAATAATATTTTTGGTGACGAAATAATGTTTATCTCTTTATAAAGAAATAAGACGTCAATTTAATTCCTTTTAGGTTATGTGTGACATTTCTAACCTAAATATGACATTTATAAATTGGGGCTAATGACGTTTTAAATGACAACTTGTCACTTTGAACATAAAAATGATATTTTAAACATCAAAATGGAAGTTTGAAACTTACACATTACATTTTTAATCTAAATAATGATATTTTAAACGTTCTAATTACATCAAAATGGTAATTTCTAATTTAAATATGACATTTATAGGTTTGACTGATGACGTTTTAAATGACAACTTGTCACTTTGTAACATAAAAATGATATTTTAAAAATCAAAGTGGAACTTTGAAACTTAAACATTACATTTTTAATCAAAATATTTATATTTTAAACGTTCTTATTACATCAAAATGGTAATTTCTAATTTAAATATGACATTTATAGGTTTGACTGATGACGTTTTAAATGACAACTTGTCACTTTGTATCATAAAAATTATATTTTAAACATCAAAATGGAACTTTGAAACTTAAACAATACTTTTTTAATCAAAATAATGATATTTTAACGTTCGAATTACTTTTTAGAGCAATTGAAATAATATTTTTGGTGACGAAATAATGTTTATCTCTTTATAAAGAAATAAGACGTCAATTTAATTCCTTTTAGGTTATGTGTGACATTTCTAACCTAAATATGACATTCATAAGTTGGGGCTAATGACGTTTTAAATGACAGCTTGTCACTTTGAACATAAAAATGATATTTTAAACATCAAAATAACACTTTGAAACTTAAACATTACATTTTTAATCAAAATATTTATATTTTAAACGTTCTAATTATATCAAAATGGTAATTTCTAAATTAAATATGACATTTATAGGTTTGACTGATGACGTTTTAAATGACAACTTGTCACTTTGTATCATAAAAATTATGTTTTAAACATCAAAATGGAACTTTGAAACTTAAACAGTACTTTTTTAATCAAAATAATGATATTTTAACGTTCGAATTACTTATTAGAGCAATTGAAATAATATTTTTGGTGACGAAATAATGTTGATCTCTTTATAAAGAAATAAGACGTCAATTTAATTCCTTTTAGGTTATGAGTGACATTTCTAACCTAAATATGACATTTATAAATTGGGGCTAATGACGTTTTAAATGACAACTTGTCACTTTGAACATAAAAATGATATTTTAAACATCAAAATGGAAGTTTGAAACTTACACATTACATTTTTAATCTAAATAATGATATTTTAAACGTTCTAATTACTTTTTACAACTTAAAGATAACATTTTTGGTGACGAAATAATGTTTTTCTATGTTCCTAATGAAATAGCAACAACAAATTGATACTTTTTAGTTTAAATGTGACATTTCTCGATCATATAATGTCATTTAAATCATCAAAATGGTAATTTCTAACTTAAATATAATGTTTATAAGTTTGACTAATGACGTTTTAAATGACAACTTGTCACTTTGTAACATAAAAATCATGTTTTAAACATCAAAATGGCACTTTGAAACTTAAACATTACATTTTTAATCAAAATAATGATATTTTAAACGTTCTAATTACTTTTTACAACTTAAAAATAATATTTTTGGTGACGAAATAATGTTTTTCTATGTTCCTAATAAAATAGCAATATCAAATTGGTACTTTTTAGTTTAAATATGACATTTCTAACCTATATAATGTCATTTAAATCATCAAAATGGTAATTTCTATCTTAAATATGACGTTTATAAATTTGACTAATGACGTTTTAAATGACAACTTGTCACTTTGTAACAAATATGATATTTTAAACATTAAAATGGCACTTTGAAACTTAAACATTACATTTTTAATCAAAATAATGATATTTTAAACGTTCTAATTACTTATTACAACGTAGAAATAACATTTTTGGTGACGAAATAATGTTTTTTTATGTTCTTAATAAAATAGCAACATTAAATTGGTACTTTTTAGTTTAAATATGACATTTGTAACCTATATACTGTCATTTAAATTTTAAAAATGGTAATTTCTAACTTAAATATGACGTTTATAAGTTTGACTAATGACGTTTTAAATGACAACTTGTCACTTTGTAACATAAAAATAATGTTTTAAACATCAAAATTGCACTTTGAAAGTTAAACATTACATTTTTAATCAAAATAATGATATTTTAAATGTTCTAATTGCTTATTACAACTTAGAAATAATATTTTTGGGGTCGAAATAATGTTTTTCTATGTTCCTAATAAAATAGCAACATAAAATTGGTACTTTTTAGTTTTAATGTGACATTTCTAACCTATGTAATGTCATTTAAATCATCAAAATGGTAATTTCTAACTTCCATATGATAGTATAAGTTGGGGCTAATGACGTTTTAAATGACAGCTTGTCACTTTGTAAGATTGATAATTGTGAATATTTCAAATAATTATTAATTTATTTTAAAGTTTGTAATGTACAGGGTGATTCTCAACTTTTACGCATCAACTTTAGGGTTTATTCGGCATAACAAATAATGGCTAATAAGTGGAGAAAAATGTAGCAAAAGTTGTTTAGTTTTCTTGATATCAGAGAAATTTACTTTCAAATCCGGAATACATAGAACATTTAAAACTAACATCACAGCAAGTGTTCGAAGTTATTTCCCATATTTTCTCTGATATCTAGAAAACTAAAAATCTTTTACTGCACTTTTTGCACCTATTAGCCATTATTTGTCTCGAAGAATAAATCTCCAAGTTTATGCGTATAGGTTAAAAATCACTATTTATATTAACAACAGTCTTATTAACTAAATTGAATGCAAAATAATCCAGTTTTCCGAATAAAATAATCACAATAATAACAAATGATTCGAAATTCACGCCATAAAATTGAGTATACAGTTGAGCAAAAGTGATTAAGTTTAGGTTGGTATCCAAACTTTTATTTTAGTCTCGTCAGTTACACTTCATCGAATTCTGTCAGCACTTTCTTTTTACCTCTGCCAGTGGAGTTTTCCTTCATACCTCCACTTATTCACGATTTTTGTAGCGTGGAATGAAGCCTTCCAATAATTTTACCAATATCTCGAAACGATTTACCTTCTGAATATAGCTTCACCACGAGTTTTCTTATTTCTAAAGTTGTTTCTCTTCATAATGTGGCCATTGTCAAGCAATAATTCTCGAAATTATGAAAATTAATTTTAAACTTTAATGCTGTGGAATCAATGACAGCCAGCGGCGTTGGGACTATGCAGCTTATTGAGGAAAATATGACAAAATCTAGTTATTTGGATATTTTAAAACGTAATTTATGTCAAAGCTCTCAAACAAGATAATAATTCTAAACATACATCATATTTTGTGAAGGAATGGTTATTATACAATACTTCAAAACAACTAAAAACACTTATGTTATTTTAATTTGAATATTTTTTAGTAAGAAAGTATTATTACTCTACTGTCCGAGTTTCGTGTGGAGCCATTGTATAAAATTAATTATGTTAATATTTTTTTTCATTTATATACATACTTCTTAACATGAGACATCAATGTGACGTAAAAATCTTACGATACATTTTTATTTATTGGTTGTTTATAAATGATTATTGTTCAAGGTTAAAAAAATTGAGAAGAAAAGAACACCTGTTGTTTCTGTATATTTTTATACTTAATTTTTTTGTTGTAACGTGAGCTGGTGATTTTGTTAATAAGTTTCTTGCATCACGATTTTTTTTTCTATTTGAGTTTAAATTAACTCGTTTCGATGCCGTCGCGTCGCGAAAATTAAAAGAAAAGTTGTTGGCAGTGAGTGAAGAAAATAACAAAAAATGTCCTTTTTTAATGAATTTTCTGTGTTCTCCTTTTTTTGATTAAAAGAAAGGACATTCAACAAGGTAAAGTAAAATTATTAATCATTTTAAAAGTTAGTAACGCTTATTTTTATTTTCTTGGCGTATCCTAGAATCTTTTCATCTTCTATTATTTGATTTTTTTTGTATTATTAGCAAAATTTTAGTTACTTGTAGATGTATTTTGTGTTATAAAAAAAAACAAACATGTTACAATCAACAATTTTTTAAATATTCATCAATTTGAAGATTTTAATATAAATTTTTTCGTATCTACTTTTTACAAAGTACTCTGTTTAATTTAACCAAAGCAATGCAATATTTATTCTCCTTTCACTCTTCAAATAAAAGTTGCTTCAAATGAAACTTACGAAATTGTTTCAATATTTGTTTCTATTTATAACGGTGTTTTCTGATTTTCCATCATAATCGTATGATACCTCGTACTTTTACGATTATAGTAAAGATAAAATCGTAATTCGTTGTGGCACCATTCAGATTTTTTTGACTAAAAATCTTAACCATCGAGATCTACAAGATAAGATAATCGAAAAAATGCAATCGTACCACCTTTTCAAGCGATAAATTTGTTTAAAACGTTTATTATTGCGTCATATTTTTTTATTTTTATGTTTCGACTGCAATTTCCAACAGTAAATAAATAAGTGATTACGGGGAATTCAAGAGAATTTAAAATCTCATAGTTTTAAAGTCCGAGGATGATTGGATTTTCTAATTTTAGAAGTTGTATAATAGAATCGAAATACATAGTTGTATTTTTTATATCTTGTAACAGTTTTAAGTATTTATCAGTTAATGCATGTATGTAATGCTAAAGTTTAGCTTTGTATTTTTAGCATGCTTCAACTTAGTGCACTTTCGAAAAGAAGCTTTCTTTTCGAAACAATTATTCATAAATAATATTTTTGAATTAATTATTTGATTAGTTGTGCCATCTATGATTAATTCGATGCAAATTAAGCTTAAACGATTTTGTACTAGATGGCGGTACTTTTTTAAATTTATTACCTGTCAAGTGTCAATTCAAATGTTGACTTAAAAGAAAGTTCGTTTGCTATTTTGTAATTGTTGATTTTGTGAAGAAAAGTTTTCAAGTCACGGTACGTATTTCTAGTCCTACTGCCAGCCGGCTCCTTTCAGTGATGACGAAGCTGCCGTAAGGGCTCGCGAAGAATGCGATTACACACAAAAAATCACCTACGAACAGGCGCTGAATGGGGAGGCCCCCAGGCCAGTGCGCGTTTATGCAGATGGGGCCTACGATCTCTTTCATCAGGGCCATGCCCGCCAGCTTCGGCAGGCCAAAAACGCCTTCCCTAACATCTATTTGATAGTCGGAGGTAGATTTTCTTTATTTTTTTTTATTTCTTTTTACCCCGATTTTGACCAAATTTTTAAGTAAACATAGTAAATGTTTATCACAAGATGATTTTGATTGTTATTTAACATAATTTAATAAAATTTTATTAATTATAAATTATAACATTATCATTGACAAGTAGTAAGTGGCGACATCTATTACTTAGATTTTATACTAACTTAATTTTAACCGCCAAAATTTGAATTCTCCACAAATTTATTTTATTTACTTAAAATTTAATCAAAATCGGATTTTAATTACGTTTTAAATAGTAAGTACAAATATTACAATTTTAATTTTATATAATCCCCCCTATATTTCTTTGTAGTTTGCAATGATGAGCTATTACATAAAATGAAAGGCCGTACTGTAATGGACGAAGACGAACGTTATAATTCAGTAAAACATTGTCGTTACGTCGACGAAGTCCTCCGTAACGCACCTTGGGAGCATAGCGAGGAATTTTTAACCGAAAATAAAATAGATTTCGTCGCACACGATGATATTCCATACAGTTCTGAAACAACCGATGATATTTATGGCCCGTTAAAAGCGAAAGGAATGTTTTTGCCAACAACACGTACTGAGGGAGTTTCCACGTCGGATATCGTAGCTCGGATCGTTCGTGATTACGATATTTATATAAGAAGAAATTTACAAAGGGGTTATTCAGCGAAGGAGTTGAATATTTCTTATTTGAAAGAGAAAAAGTACAAGTTTCAAAATAAAATGCACGAGTTGAAAGATAAAAGTAAAAGGGTTATTGATTCGATTGGGGAAAGGAGGGATGATTTGATTAATAAATGGGAAGAAAAATCGAAAGAGCTGGTTGAAAATTTTAAATTATTATTCGAACCGGCCAAGTTAAGAACGATTTTTAGCGAGAGTCGTGATAAGCTATTGAAGGCGCTTACTCCGCCTGGTTCACCAACGGAAAGTGCAAGTACAAGCAGTGAGGATGTTGAGGAAGAAATTGATGAACCTCCACGGAAATTAAGAAGAATTTATTAGAGATAAATGAAAACAAAAATCAGTACAAATTAATTTCATAACATCACAAATATTAGTACAACTACGTTTTTTAATCTTTTTATTGAGTACTTAATAAGACTGCTGTTCTTCTTGTGATAGCAACTTCTCTATCTTTTTAATTTTATTTTTTTCCTTTTTAATGACCTATTTTTTATTTCTCTCACACTGCCTTAAAGCTTGAGATTCATTATAAGTTTTAGAGAGGAGGTAGGGGAAATTTTCAGTTTTAATTCTTATCTCTAGTTTTGCATCTCAATGATAGATGTCTCTTAACTTTTTTTTTAGCACGTTTTATTCTCTTCAAAGACAGTTTTTTATATATACAAATATTATCCTTGTTTTATTTTATATTATATAAGTTATTGTTATATATTGTTTTTATTTTTAGTTTGTATTCTAAAAGTGAACGTGGTTGCCTATTCTTTTATATTTATCTTATTAATTTATGTAAAAAAATGATTTGGGATATTTACTTGATATTAACATAATAATTAATATTCTTGAAAAAAATTGTTTTCTTGCTTATCGACTGATGTTTTTTATTCCTTTAATTCATTGTAAATTAAATGTTGTCGTTGATATTTCATATAATTAACAATTTATTAAATTAATTAGGATTATGGTGTAACTATATCTAATAAAAATGTAAAAATTATTTAACTTTATATTTTTTCTTTAAATCCTAAAATGCTATAAAAAATCTTAAACAATTATTAATTACTGTATCCCTCAATCCTAATGCATATTTATTTTAATATAATTTTTTCTGAGCGTTTATCACCGTTATAATTTATGAAGTGTTGTGCGTGTTTCAACATGTTTATTCTCACTCCATCATTATGGCAAAAAGAAAGCACTTTGTCGTTGAAGAGTGCTGAATTAACTAAAATTTACACTCTATTAGCTGTCCTGGTAATAAAAAAAACTTTGAAGACAGGAGACAAATACTACCTATACTATACTAATAAATGCTTGCAGAAGATAGATATTGTCTATAGAAGGTTAGTTATTCCTGCCAACAGACTAAAAATTTTTTGCAGAATACTAATATTGCTTGCAGAAGACTAAATATTGGCGACAGAAGACTAAAAATTGGTTGCAGAATACTAATATTGCTTGCAGAAGACAAAATATTGGCGACAGAAGACTAAAAACTCCTTGCGGTAAACAAATACTACCTATACAATACTAAAAAATGCTTGCAGAAGATAGATATTGCCTATAGAAGGTTAGTTATTATTGGTAGACTAGAAATTGGTTGCAGAATACTAATATTGCTTGTAGAAGACTAAATACTGCCGACAGAAGACTAAAAACTCCTTGCGAAAGACTAATACTGTCTATACAATACTAGAAACTGCTTTAAAAGATAGATATTGTCTATAAATGGCTGGGTACTGCTACCAACAGACTAGGAATTGGTTACAGAATACTAATATTGCTTGCAGAAGACTAAATGTTGCCGACAGAAGACTAAAAACTCCTTGCGGAAAACAAATACTACCTACACAATACTAAAAAATGCTTGCAGAAGATAGATATTGTCTATAGAAGGTTAGTTATTGCTACCAATAGACTACACATTGATTGAAGAATACTAATACTGCTTGTAGAAGACTGAATACTGCCGACAGAAGATTAAAAACTTTTTGAGAGAGACTAATACTACCTATACAATACTAGAAACTGCTTTAAAAGATAGATATTGTCTATAAAAGGCAAGGTACTGCTACCAACAGACTAGAAATTGGTTGCAGAATACAAATATCGCTTGTAGAAGACCAAATACTGCCGCCAGAAGACTAAAAACTCCTTGCGGAAAACAAATACTACCTGTACAATACTAAAAAATGCTTGCAGAAGATAGATATTGTCTATAGACGGTTAATTATTGCTACTAATAGACTACACATTGATTGCAGAATACTAATACTGCTTGTAGAAGACTGAATACTGCCGGCAGAAGATTAAAAACTCCTTGAGAAAGACTAATACTACCTATACAATACTAGAAACTGCTTTAAAAAAATAGATATTGTCTATAAAAGGCAAGGTACTGCTACCAACAGACTAGAAATTGGTTGCAGAATACAAATATCGCTTGTAAAAGACCAAATACTGCCGCCAGAAGACTAAAAACTCCTTGCGGAAAACAAATACTACCTGTACAATACTAAAAAATGCTTACAGAAGATAGATATTGTCTATAGAAGGTTAGTTATTGCTACCAATAGACTACACATTGATTGCAGAATACTAATTCTGCTTGTACAAGACTGAATACTGCCGACAGAAGATTAAAAACTCCTTGAGAAAGACTAATACTACCTATACAATACTAGAAACTGCTTTAAAAGATAGATATTGTCTATAAAAGGTTAGGTATTCATTCATTAATTTCAATAAATACGGCTTCCAGGAATTTTAAATTTGCATCTTTTTTGACACTTTTAGGTTATACGAAAATGTTAGTTTTGTTTCAACATTTTTTTTCTCAATATTTTTCCAATCCAACCCAACAATTATTATACATCATTTTAAAGAGAAAGCTTTGAGCTTTAATTTAGAATAAGTCTCATTCCTTAATTTCAATAAATACGGCTTCCAGGAATTTTTAAATTAGCATCTTTTTTGACACTTTTAGGTTATACGAAAATGTAAGTTTTGTTTCAACATTTTTTTTCTCAATATTTTTCCAATCCAACCCAACAATTATTATACATCATTTTAAAGAGAAAGCTTTGAGCTTTAATTTAAAATGAGTCTCATTCCTTAATTTCAATAAATACGCCTTCCAGCAATTTTTAAATTACCATCTTTTTTGACACTTTTAAGTTAAGCGAAAATGTAAGTTTTCTTTCAACATTTTTTTTCTTAATATTTTTCCAATCCAACCTAACAATTATTATACATCATTTTAAAGAGAAAGCTTTGAGCTTTAATTTAGAATAAGTCTCATTCCTTAATTTCAATAAATACGGCTTCCAGGAATTTTTAAATTAGCATTTTTTTTGAGTGTATTTTGATAGCGTTTTAATTCTGTCACAAAGTTTTAAAATTTTTGACTTCTTGGGACACAAAGGGTTAAGACGGCTAAACCCGAATGATTCTAGTTCTAGGTCTAGTGTTAGATTCTAATGCTGGTTTTAGTAACTTTTCAAATAGTTTTGATATTAACGGTAATAATGAGGTTGGCTTATATGGTGCAACATCTGTCAGCAACTAATTTCTTAATTTCGGCAACTTTCCATATATTTGGAAAGTATTTGTGTTCAAAAGCAGCATTAATGATGTAATAGTTTTGTAATCGCCCGTTTTGATAAATGTTTCAAAGTTTCTCCATTAATTAGATCATAGTCTGCTGATGCAGATGGTATATTACTCTCCTCATTACATTGAGTTATGCTAGGAACAATAGTTAACATAGTTATTGGCCTGATAATGTAAAAGTTTCTTTCAGATGTTCAACAAACAAATTAGTTTTTTCCTGCTTGCTCTTAGCACTATTTCTGCTACTCTCTCGAATTGATGGTGATGTGTTTTTGGAACTTTAAGCTTTCTTATTGACTTCCATAGAGTATATACAGAATAATCAGTAATGGCATCGTCAGTAAAATCTTTGAAATAATTTTGAATATTATTTTGTTAAAGCTTTTAATTCTGCTGTTATTTTATTTTATTTAGTTTTATCTCTAAGAATTCTATTAGTTTACCATTTCTTTCTAACTCTCTGTTTTTTCTGCAATTTCGTCTCAAATGCATTTAGGATATATGTTGGATTTGGATTAGGTTTTGGAGTTAAAATAGGTGTTGTGGCCCAGGGTGTGTTTTGCATGGTTGAAGAAAATGATATATTTTATTATGATGTTTCCATTTTAAGCAACTTAAGAGAAGATTATCTAAAAAGTCAACAGTCAGAAAGGAAGCAAATAAAAATTGGAGATTTTCTGGATATTCTTGATATTCTGGATTTTTAGTGATACCCAGTTCCAAACCTTAAGTGGGATTCTCTCTTTACTTATTAGTCGTAGATGTTCATACCATTTTAGTTACTTTTTATTTATAGAGTTTATTATTGAGTTTTGTGTGGAGATGATGTTTTGGAGAAGATGCTGCGGCATAACCATGCTGTATCGAGTTGAAAATTATTCGGATTATTGAATTATTAATGTATTGAACGTTAAAAAGAAAAGATATAAAATTTCTCGGATACTTTTAATACCCAAAATTTCTATTAAACGATAAATTATTGGAATTCTTAGAAAGCTGATTAATTCGGTGGAGTGAACATTACAAAATCACGTTATTGAACTATTTTAAAGCAATCAGTTTTGATTAAACTAAACTAGAAAACGTGCGCGGAGAGGGGGCCTCATCCCAACTACTAAAATCCAAAGTGGTGGTCTGATTTAAATTGGCGTTAAATTGACCGGGAGTTATAAAGAGAGAACGGTTTCGAAACGATCGTTTCAAATTTGATTTTGTGATGGTTAAAAGAGCTAGAAAATCCGAAATCCGGGTTCGTATTAATTTAAATAAAAATTTTATTATCACATTGTGATTAAATCGTTTAATGGTTCTCCATTATTACCAAAGAAAGAATAATTAAAAATCGAATCAAAAAAAAAAAAAAAAAAAACCAAAGTAGCCATTGTTTGATGTTTTTTCAGATTTTTTTGTCGTAATATTTTTAGTTTTTTTTAACAAACGGGAAAAAGAATGGCTTGGTCACGTTACCACCACTTTGTAATTAAAATTTCGTTAAAATAAATTCAATTATCGTTTAATTCGTATTAATTTTCTTGTATTTTTTTAGGCTATTTGCAAAGAGGCCCCGTTTGACGACGAACCCCAAGCGGTACGTAATCGGGAGTTATGCGATTATAACGTGAAGGTAACTTACGAAACCGCCCGTCTTGGAACCGCAGGACGTCCAGTTAGGGTTTATGCTGATGGAATTTACGACGTTTTTCATCAGGGCCATGCCAGACAACTTATGCAAGCCAAAAACGTTTTTCCTAATGTCTACCTCATCGTTGGAGGTTGGTTTTTTTTTTTAATGTCATTAGTACTGTCAAAAATTTGATTGATACGTCAATATTGACATCTCAATTATTAACATCTTTTTAATTAAACTAAATCTAAAATTAATTGTACCACATCACTAGAATTAACACTATTGACTCAGAAAAAGTTCCAACATGGCGTCCGAAACGTCAAAAACATTTTCAAAAAGTCTTATTTCTAGTGATATTCTCGTAAAACTCTTCGTATCTTATATATCTTTTTAATTTTAGTATGTAACGATGATTTAACGCATAGTAAAAAAGGTCGTACTGTAATGAATGAAACTGAACGTTACGAAGGAGTTCGTCATTGTCGTTACGTAGACGAAGTGGTCCGTGACGCCCCATGGGAAGTGGATGACGCTTATATCTTGAAACACAAGATTGATTTTATCGCCCACGATGATCTCCCCTACGGTTCGGACGATTGTAATGATATCTACGCAAAATGGAAAGCCCGGGGAATGTTTGTTGCAACGGAACGTACGGAAGGTGTCTCAACATCCGACATCGTAGCAAGAATCGTCCGGGATTATGACATTTATGTACGTCGTAATTTGCAACGTGGTTATTCGGCGAAAGATTTAAACATTTCGTATTTAAGTGAGAAAAAAATTCGCCTCCAAAATAAAATGCACGAATTAAAAGATAAAAGTAAGAAGGTGATGAATTCTTTGGGTGAGAGGAAGGTTGATTTAATTACGAAGTGGGAGGATAAATCGAGGGAATTTATTGAAAACTTTTTGTTGTTATTTGGCCGTGAACGTTTAACTAATATTTGGAATGAAAGTAAAGGAAGGATTTTGAACGCTTTGAGTCCACCAAGTTCGCCGATGAGAGAGGGTTCACCCACTTCTAGTAATGGAGATCTTTTTGATTCTTTCGAAGATAATTTATCGCCCCCGCGGAAATCGGCTCGATTAGAATCTCTCTCTCCTCAAAGTTCTTCGTCGTTGAGTGGTCGATATTCCAGTGTTAACGAATATAGCGACGAAGAGGAAATTGCCGCAAATTAAACGAAATTACCGAAAACAAAATAATAATAATGCAAATATTAGGTATTTGAAAAGTGCTAATTAAAAATTCGAAAATTTTTTTTATAAGGGTCCTACTTAAAGATAATAATAAAATATGCTGTGGATATTTAAAAAGAAAACCAATTTTTTTACGTGGGTTATTTTAATTTAATTTTTTTTTCTCAATAATTTATTTTTTTTTTGATCGATCGGATATGATATGTGTGATATTTATTCTTGTAACTTATTTATCTGTTTTTAAGGGTTAAAACTAAGCGAAATTAGAAACCCTTTTGAAATTATTAAAAATTAAAAACGGTGGAAATCGGATAATAAAGATCGCTAAAATTTCGTTTAAGGGGGCCAGTAGTGAAATTAATTAATTATTACGAATTAAATAAACCAAAAATTCTGTAATATTACGAAATAAAAAGAAACATTTAATTTGTTTTTATTTTTTATTAACGTATACAGTGTGAAATAAAAGTTAAATGTCAAAATTTACAACCACACTGTAGATTTGATTTAGAAAAAAAATCTTATAAATTAAAAAAAATGTATGTTATTCCCAAATTAATACACCAAAAATATTTACAAACCACGATGTTTTGTATTTTAAGTGTTTTTCCACGATATTGAATATGTATTGTACGCTTAACATTAAATTATGTTTCTTTTTTCTTCACCAGCCTTTACTATTGGATACTATTATAATTTTATGGGTATTCCACAAGTATTACTAGTTTGTAATAAGTTCTGTATTTTGGAATAAAATTCGTTTTAAATAATTAAAATTCTTATTTTTTGCGCTTACCTCGTCATCATCATTATCATCATCCTGTACTGTCTGGATCCAGTTATTAGCAAATCAGCTCGAGGTCTCCATTCCAACAGCTTTTTCGTCTAACTTTCATCTATCCTTCAGGCTACGTTTCAACCCAGTTCCTCATTTCTAACGTAATCTTTTAGCGATACTTCGAGCATTGATCCTTCCATTTTACGCTGTATTGGTCCAAACATGTTGGCAGATTTTACCACATAGGCAGCACGCACTGATCGAACACTTTTCTTTTTAAACATATTGGTAGGTTGCTCTTAAACCACCCTTAGAGACAAACTCTTAGAGAAGATTATTCGCAGGTCTGGTTGTCTCTTGTAATTTTAATTTCATGGCCAAGATGGTCCAATTTCATTTCCTTCCATCACAATGTTTTCGCTAAGAACCAGATTAGTCATAAATTTTGTTTTAGAGATATTGATTTCCAGACCAACCGATGCACATACTTCGTTCAGGTCACGCAGCATCGCATTGACACAAAATTACGGTTATTACATTGTGTCATATGGAAATTAACATTGAAGAAGAAACTGATAAACCACGGAAACGCCAAAAACGTTCAGCATCATGGCAAAAAAGCCTTGATAAAATAATGAGGTTTGTAATGGCGGTAAATTTTAGAGAGTTTGTGCTCAAATATTTATTTGCAGATATTCATCAGCTACTTTTCCGGAGATGTAGGCATAATACAAAGTCCTTCAGATGCTCTACAATCGGTAAAGAAGTTATTTTGGATTTCCATAGACGATACGTCCAGAGAAATAGTCATCAGAAAGAAGGAGGTACTTTCCCAACCAAATGAAGTTCCTGATCTTGATTGGAAAAGTGAAGTTAATGTATGTGAAGTATTATAAAACCACCAAGGCAGTGACATTTCAAGTTTGCACCTTCCAAGCGTTTCTTTATTAAAAGGAATCAAAAAAAGAATAACATTCTTATTCAAAGAGTTATTATTTCTGACTTATTTCTGTTTTATTCTTTAAGTGTTCTCTCTTATAATTTTGGTTAAATAAAGTTTATTTTGCATAATGAAATTCTTATTCAACACAAATAAAGAAAAAGATAAAAATAAAATTGATACTGTCAAAACCTTCAAATATATCATTTTGACTCATACATAAATATTAAGCCACAACTAAAGCAGCGGTAAAATGTTGAATGTTTGCAGCTACAGTTTTTATGATTTCCTGAAAAAAAATTGTTATTTGGAGATGGCCATTTTTGATATTAACGTACTCAAGTTATTTATGCTTCATTTTTAAATTTTATTATAAATAAGAAAAAGAATGTCAGGTTCAGGCCGAAATAAATGCTATAACTATAGCAGCGAATGTGATCATCGACTCCAAAAAAAGTTGGCAGAAACGTTGTAACCTACACTGATAGCAGACAGGCTATGCTGGTGCTTAGTAGGTATCGAACTACATAATCGTTAGTGAAGTCCTGTCGGCAATCACTTGAGGAGGCTAATGTTTATAACAACGTCACGATAAAGTGGTGGAAAAGATATACCAAAAATAAGGGATACGATCATGGCGAAACGGGCGGCTAATATGTCACCTGTTTCCCCGGAACCGTTTATACTGCTGACTTTTAATATAACATCAAAGCTCCATCTCGTATCGAGTGTTTTGCAATAGATGGGATGAGATTGCAGTAGGTATCTTTGCAAAGAAAACTTTGTTCTACCCTGACCGGAAGACGTTAACTCAGTTCCTGGGAAAATCAAAAAGTGACTTGACCCACTTCCTGACCGGACACTGCAGGTTACGTAAAGCCGGTTCTACATAATGTGAAGAACCGGCTTTATGAAAATATTCGTATCTTCTAACGTCGGATGTTCCGTCACATCGTATGGCCGTTGTTTGAACCTACGAGCGTTTGACGTTGGCATTTGGCCGTGTTCCGACCAATGTCTTGCACAGAGTCTTGATTCTATCCTAAATTACTACCGGTTCAAACTCAACTAAGGTTGGGTTGGGGTGGGTTGAGTCTTGATTCTATCCTAAATTACTACGGGTTCAAACTCAACTAAGGTTGGGTTGGGTTGAGTCTTGATTCCATCCTAAATTACTACGGGTTCAAACTCAACTAAGGTTCTGTTCAATAGGTCACCTGAGGTTCTGATAATTACACTACAACTGTTGATACCCATGTTGCAAGTTTTAATAATTACACTACACTTCACCACACTAGTCGAGAAGTCGTTGTTCATGACGTCCTGCAATTTTGGAAATTAGTTGATTAACTGTCTCTACTTCAGGGTCCTTGTGGAGTTCACAGTTGCGGAACTACCAAGGTGCATCAACCATGTCTCTCAGTGCTTTGTTTTGTAGTCGTTGAATGATTTGAATGTTGTACTGGCTTTAGTACTTTATAAAGGAGCAGTTAATTGTAGATGGGTAACAAGCACCAGTACATTTTTCTATATTTTAGATTAAACTCTTCTTTTTCACCTGGGCTTTAGAGCGTAGCCTTGCGTCTAAGGTCATAACCAGGTATTTCGCCGAGTTAGCATGTGGGATCTGGGCATAATTTATTCTGATGGGACAGACTTGCTTTTATTCTACTTGATACGCCAAGTTCTGGCCCAAGTATTTATTTTGTCTATAGAGGATTGTAATTTTTCAGCAGCTTTTTAATAATTTTTTCCTATTACCATGATAGCTTTGTCATCTGCAAACGTTGCAATGCTCTTCTGTTCAAGATATCTTGTGGCACTCCAACCTGGATCTCTCTTTAGTTAGAATTTCCTCCTGCTTTATTCTAAAATATCTTCCTGTAAGATATGATTTTATCAATTGAGTGTTGTTGTGGCAAGATTTTATTCCATTTATGAAGTAAGTCTTTGTACCAGATTTTATTAGAAATTGCAGAGCAGATTTCCTTTCCCTCTAAAGATTTTTTATTAATATTTGTAATCCTGTGTATCTGGTCTATTGTAGAGTGGCTTTCTCTGAACCCGAACTGGTGCTGAGAAGGAAATATTCATATTCATTAAAAAATTGTCAATGATGTAGAAGCTGTTGAAAATTAATAGTTTCTTCATTTCCTAAGCGAACTGTTTGGTCTGTAGAGTGTGGTAATTTGGAATTTTATTATATAATTTTGGGTACTGGTGATCCTGTGATATGGTACCTGAAAATATAGGAGAACAGGGCATTATTAATGATCTTCACCCCTCGGCCCTTCCGGCAAATCTGGGGGTGCTGGTGGGCTAGAAGGATACCAGAGGATTTAATGCAATAATCTAGACTAGTCCCAGGGTGCTGCAGTCTCTAGTTATTGAGAAAATAATATTTAAATTTGATATTGAAAACGAGGAATATTAAAAAATTCACCCTTCGGCCCCTATGGCAAATCTGGGGGTGCTGGTAGGCTAGAAGGATACCAGAGGACCTAATGCAATAATCTGAACTAGTCTCAGAGTGCTGCAGTTCTCAGTTGATAAGAAAATAAGTTTTAACTTTGCTATTAAAATCGATGAGTATTCAAACATTCACCACTCTGCGTCTAGTTAAAGTCTAGTCTGGGGGTAAGGGTAGACTGGGAATATACTAGAGCGTCTATTCGAATTATCCAGGGTAGTCGCAGATTACACAACTTCTACAACTTCTGTAGTTTCAGAAAACGATTTTTCAATTTATATGTTCAATGCTTGTCTGGTCAACTGTAATTTTATGAATCTGAATCTGGTACAGATTCGAATATGAGTCTAACTTCAGCCACATTGTTCCACATGTACATATTTTAAACAGATAAGTACATAAATACAAGGAATTTTTGTCCATTTTAACGTGATCTTTGCAGCTTTTGTACAATTTTAGGTTATATAGTACTTGGATTGCTTTTTTTTAAGGATGAAGATAAGAGATAAGCCATCCTCACTGCTTTGTGAGTTGCAACCATTTTCATTCTCCTAATTGTGTATATTGCACCAGATAATTTGGAAGGTATATCCAATATAGGGGTTTGTTATCTATGTTCAACCCTAAATACTTGATGTTACACACTGTTGGGTCATTTCTTGGTGCAAACTTTATTGGTTCTTAGCTTATTGTTATGCAACCATATTTTTGCTGTTTCTAAGCCTTTGTCACATACAACCATGTCATTTTGGATTTGGAAGTTATATTGAAAGGCAGATCATATAGATATTGAACAAGAGAGGATCCAGAACTGATCCTTGTGGAATCCCTTTTTGGAGTACTCTGGCCTCAAATTTTGGACATAAAGACTATACCCTTCTGTTCTATATTAATGTTCATTAAAACCTTGGGTTGGTTTTCTGACCCCTGAATGAACTGTGTATTGTGGGGATGTACAAAAGGTCTGGTGGGGGCTAAGTGCTGTAAAGAAAAAAGGGTCTTAAAAAATATTTATAAACAAGTTCCTTAAAGCTAATTTAATTCAAGTTTCGAAGTAGTATAAAGTCTATTTGTTAAAACGTGTCTCAAAGTAGAAAATAACTTGTGTTTACATGAATCCCGTATTTTTCTCTTCGTATTAAAAATACCCCTTTCAATTATTTAAGAGAGCGTGGGTGACTCATAGTGTTTGAACTGAATCCTAAACTTAACGTATACCCGATTATTTTTAAACCCATTCATGTTCAACGTTCGAAACCGCCGATCAAGACAAAGATGCCTGACGATGCCTTAGCAGACACCCTAAAAATTTTTCGCATAACATTCATTTTTACAATTTAAATATAAACAATTTCGCGTTTTTTACCAAAACAACATCAAATTAATCTCATTTAAATCGTTTTCGTTAAAAAATAAAGTTTAATTTAAAGTTGTTTTGATATAAAAGAATCTAGAAAGTATGAGTTACGTCTAACTTAATACCTGTCAGTAATTTTTAACCAATCAGCGTTTAGGGATTTAACTTGAAAGTTGCGATGTGCGTTAAAGTGCCATGTCCTTCGCGAGAGCGGTAAAAATGCCTCAAAATAACGTTACACATAAACGAAAATCGTAGAAAAAAACGTTCGAAATGTTTTATCATTCGTAACGTATGCCGTTTACCGTCGTTGTAACGTTACGGTTATTCTTTTTTGTGGTGGTATGCCCAAAAAATTTCGTACACACATCAACATGGACGAAATAGGTGCTACGGTTAATAAACAATCATCAATAGGCAGCGATTCAACGGGAGATGACCAGAATAAATTAGAACGTAAGTAATGCTAAGGATAATTAAAAATCTCGAATAAAAACCCATATCAAAACCATCACTTTTGACAGTTAAACAAAAGTGAGGTTATGTTTGAATTAAAATATTTTAAAATAAATAATTTTTTTTAGACACTTCTCTTCCCCTTGATAAACGGATATGTTTGGTTGGAAACGTTGTGAAAAATACCTCCATCTGTACTACAGCCCAATCATTTGGCGTTCCTGTACTCACATCGGAAAATGGCCTCGAATACAGCAAAGATCAAACTTGCTCCACGGTTTTTGTGGTAGAATCTTTTGAGGGAAACGATTATGAACAACTATTTAAATCGCGACATCCCCTTTTGGGACCACCAGCTTTGCAACAACTATTAAATCGTAATGAAAAACTGCCTAATAACACAAGACCTTTATATAATTTAGCTATGAGTGGAGTTGTTGTTTGTTTTACTGGATTTAGAAATAAGGATGAATTAGTAAGGATTTAATCTTAGATTTAAATAAATTTTTTAATTTTTTTTCCCATTTAGACTAAATTAGTTCCTCTTGTACATCATATGGGAGGCTCAATACGCAAAGAAATGTCTGCAAAGGTTACCCATTTAATCGCAAACGTCGCTGGAGGTGATAAATATCAATATGCAGCCACTTTTCGTGTTCCTATTATGCACTTAAACTGGGTATTCTCCAGCTGGGAAAATAGGAACGACGTTAATTTTACATCTACAATAGACACATTTATGGTGAGTTTAAATTTATTTCATAATTCAGCATTTTTAAGTTTAATGATTTTTTGCTTTCACTTTTTGAATTGAAAAAAATTAAGTAAGTACTAATTAATGATTTAATCCTTAAAATAAAATTAGTTAATAGATTAAATCTTATTTAATGATTAATTGTTTAGGCTGAACACAAATTAAAACCGTTTTATGGGGCGAAAGTATGTTTTGCTGGATTCCCAGAGGAAGAAGAAAAGCATATGACGGAAGTGCTCGAGGCAAACGGCGGGTGTATCACTGTTATAGACGATCCGCAATGTACACATGTGGTAAGTATTGTTATTGTATAAGTTATTTAACTCTTAACCTGAAACACTGAAATAATATCAAGCTTATTAGAAACAACAGGTCTTTGATTATTAAAAATTCAATTAAATTTTATTCTTAGTAATAACTCCTCAAGTTATAATTATTAATTATTTCGAATACATTTGACGCAAATTTGTCGACTCCACTCTAAGGAAATTGGCTTGGAAAAACGGATGCAACAATAATTCGTTTTTCTCATTTATGATGGACAAATCCTGCAAGTTTTTCTTTTTGCAAGCTTGTCATTGGGAATAGTATTTCAATATTGTTGACTTGATCTGCTACAGCAAATCCCAGAAGATCCTCCACATTGGACCACAGCTCCCCAGGAATCAGTGTTGCCACACAGAGGACGCTGTAGTACTGTACAGGGTGGTTCAAATTCGATGTCCGAATAGGCTAAGTCGGAAACTATAAGAGTTAGAAAAAAAGTAGCTTACATGTCATGATCTCGTTTTTCGAGAAACTGCTAATGCCGAAAACCTCATAGCGCTATCGTCTTTTGTTTTTCCCCTAGAGGCCAAAATTGAAAATATCGTAAAACCAGCAAGTGCAATTATCTTGGTTATTATTATAGGTGGAGTATTATAACTAAGACATTATATGGACACTTTTTTACAGAGAATTTGATGACGTAGTCAAAAAAATTTTGTCGGTTTTAGATTTTGAGATATTATCACAATTTTCGTTTTTTTAAATGGAAACAACCACTGATTATTCGCTTATTAAATTCGTTATTTTTTTCTGATTACAAAAATATAGGGTTCGACAGGTCTATTTCTTATTGTTTTAGAATAAAGCCAAAAATAAACTTTTTTTTTAAATTTCCATCTAGTGTCATCGACGAAATTAAATTTACAGTTTCCTGTAAATTATGGTACTATAACTAAAAATTAAAAAAACAAATTTCTGATGTTTGAAACAAATAAATTTGTTGAACTATTTAATTTATATATGTTTTACACAAAAGTTGGAATAGATTGCATTATTTCACATTTTTTATTAATATTTAATATTATTATTAAATGACTTAATAAATTATTGATAGATGGCGCTCATATATTTTTTTTTTTAATTCAAATAAACATAGCAACATTTGTTTGTATTCAAAAATTTTCTGAAGTGTCACTTTAAAAATCCTGTTTTTAAGATCAATTACGAAAATTTTGAAAAGTTTGACATGTTAGAATGTTACATATTAAAAAATTATTTGTTTTTAAATACCAGAAGTTATCTTCGTATTTAATTGTTAACTTTTTAGATTTTACCTACCGCCCCGTAACTTACAGGAAACTGTAAATTTAATTTCCTCGACGACACTAGATGGAAATTTTAAAAAAAAAGTTTATTTTTAGCTTTATTCTAAAACAATAAGAAATAGACCTGTCGAACCCTATATTTTTGTAATCAGAAAAAAATAACGAATTTAATAAGCGAATAATCAGTGGTTGTTTCCATTTAAAAAAACGAAAATTGTGATGATATCTCAAAATCTAAAACCGAAAAAATTTTTTTGACTACGTCATCCAATTCTCTGTAAAAAAGTGTCCATATAATGTCTTAGTTATAATACTCCACCTATAATAATAACGAAGATAATTGCACTTGCTGGTTTTACGATATTTCCAATTTTGGCCTCTAGGGGAAAAACAAAAGACGATAGCGCTATGAGGTTTTCGGCATTAGCAGTTTCTCGAAAAACGAGATCATGACATGTAAGCTACTTTTTTTCTAACTCTTATAGTTTCCGAGTTAGCCTATTCGGACATCGAATTTGAACCACCCTGTACAGGATGAATTTACAGATAATTTAATAACGTAGTTAAAAACAATTTTTCGATTTTAGATTTTGAGATATTATGACAATTTTCGTTTCTTTAAATGGAAACAACCACTGATTTCGCTTATTAAGTTCGTAATTTTTTTCTGATTACAAAAATATGGGGTTAGATAGGTCTATTTCTTATTGTTTTAGATTAAGGCTAAAAATAAACTTGTTTTTAGTGTCGTCAAAGAAATTAAATTTACAGTTTCCTGTAAATTATGGTACCATAACTAAAAATTTATATAAAATTTACTTTATTTTCTAATATGTAACATTCTAACATGTTAAACTTTTCGTAATTTTCATAATCCATCTTAAAAAACAAGATTTTTAATTTGAGACTTCAGAAAATTTTTGAATACAAACAAATGTTGCTATATTTAAATTAAAAAAATAATGGGCGCCATCTGTCAATAATTTATTAAGTCATTTAATAATAATATTAAATACTAATAAAAAATGTGAAATAATGCAATCTATTCCAATTTTTGTGTAAAACAAATATAAATTAAATAGTTCAACAAATGTATTTGTTTCAAATATCAGAAATATGTTAATTTTTAGTTATAATTTACAGGAAACTGTAAATTTAATTTCTTTGACGACACTAAAAAAAAAGTTTATTTTTACCTTTATTCTAAAACAATAAGAAATAGACCTGTCAAACCCTATATTTTTGTAATCAGAAAAAAATAACGAATTTAATAAGCTAATAATCAGTGGTTGTTTCCATTTAAAAAAACGAAAATTGTCTGATATCTCAAAATCTAAAACCGAAAATTTTTTTTAATTACATCATCAAATTCTCTGTAAAAAAGTTATAATACTCCACCGATAATAATAACCAAGATAATTGCACTTGCTGGTTTTACGATATTTTCCATTTTGGCCTCTAGGGGAGAAACAAAAGACGATAGCGCTTTGAGGTTTTTGGCATTAGCAGTTTCTCGAAAAACGAGATCATGACATGTAAGCTAGATATAGCCTACTCGGACATTGAATTTGAACCAACCTGTACTTGAAAACGAAAATTACCGTATTTTATATAAAAATACCGTACTTGTACTAAAAATGGTAGTGACACAAAAGGTTTTGCGTAATAAATGCTATAAAATGAACTGTGCAAACAAATAGGTAAAAATTTATTTTAAGTATAACAAAGTAACTATAATAGTTTTTTACCATCTTGTTGAAACCACATTTCTTCGTAAATATTGAGTGGCATATCTAACAAAGTTGGTAAATTATTTTGGAGGAAATACAAATAGTAAAGTATAATTTTTTAAACGTGTTTTTTTGCAAAAAAAAAAACAGGCTGTCTAGACAGTTTGGTCACTTTACTATGGCACATTAACTTTTCGAAATTTGGAAGTACCACAACTTCATTTTTTTAAATGGCACCCCCCATATTTGATTGCTTAGTCATCTTCAGCGTTTCATTTTACATCTTTTATACCCCATATGTCCTATACCTAACATTAATAGTTTGGGACATAATTAGGGTTTTTTTGAAAAATGTCATATTTAGCTGGCTTGCTAGGCATGTATATGCGAAAACGACAATTACCTTTTAAAGGGATAAGCATTTCATCAATAGTAAGACATTTTCCCATGGAAAATAGTTTTTGACTGTTTGAAACGAATTTGTCGAAAATATCCCTTATTTAGAGAATTACTCTAATTCCAGGTCGCATTGAAGTGTTGCTGTATAATAGTTTAGATGAAGTAGATCTGGAATTGACACGTTATATACAGGTGTCCCGTATCTTCCGCATCAAAGCATTATACGGCTGAAGGATTCATTATTCTGATGCAATTTTTCTGTATGCATTGTTATACAGGGTGTGTTAAATGTTTGGAATATAATAATGCCAATAATTTCGCCATTTGTGGTTTTAAAGAAAAATGTTTCAAATACAAGTTTCTTTATTAATCGTGGCGCAGTTTTTGTTTCGTTGCTATGGCAACCAACATTGTTATTTTAAATGAGATGTATATGTTTTTTTTTGCATATTTTGATAGAGGTTAAATCTCTCTACGCGGTGAACATATCAAATCATATGGTTGTATAAGAAAAAATTGAGAAAAATGCGTTCTCTGAAAATATTAAATCACCAAATTACAATCAAAGTATAACAGCTTTAAGTTATTGGTTATATTCCAGACACTTGACACACCCCCTGTATAGTTTGATGTAATTATTAAAACATTTTTCTTACCTTCTTAGCAATTTGTCGTCATTAATGATGTGCTGCTTGTAAAGATTTACATGCTTTGGTAAAGTGTCCTAAATCCAACATCTTACGCCTTTTCGGAAGTGTAACTTCTAGTGAGCTATTTCAACATTTATATTTAGTACTAAGAAGAACTGGTTTTTTCTTTCTCTTGTCCCCATTCAAACTAATTGAATGAACCTAGGTAATGGGTCTCCATTAGCCATTCTTTATACTCTGGCCACCTTCCTCTATTCTTCTTTCTGGTTTCATATTAAATATTTTCGTTAGAACAATAAGTATCTCCTCTACTAGAGCTCACAAGTTTTGTTCTTCTCTGACGTTCTCTGACTCTGTTTCTTCTGGTTTTTACTATTTTTCGCAGATACTTCATCTCTTTATTATTTAAAACTTGGGTGATTCAACTCTCATTCTCCGGTTTTCAATTCAATTTTGATTACTTGTTAGCCCTAAAGCAACAAATATGTTTCCGCCATCTTTAAATCCAGTGGGACTTTACCTATGATAATCTGAACCATATAGAGTTATTTGTTGTCACTCAAACTCACTCACTAACTGATTGCAAACTGACGATGGTCATTCTGTCAATGAGAAAAACGATATATATACGTGTTTGTGTGTGTATTATTAAATTTATTGTTAAATTTATGAATCAAAGAGACAAAAACTCATCGTTTCGCGCAAGTTTGAACATCTACATAATGATTAGTTATGAGTTATGAGAATGATTAATTACACAGCGATAAGCTTTCCCATATGAAACTCACGAAACCTATGAATACATTAAAACATTAGGTGGAGCCGATTGCCTGGGTCTGATTTACGATCTCCTATTGGACGACTTTAAACAGTTCCCGTGCGGTTATTATAAACATTAGAAAAAATTTTTATTAGAAAAATCGCTTTAGAATAATGTATCTGTAGTCTATGTTTCGGGTTAAGGGTTAATTCTATTTTCGTAAAAAAATATGTTTAAAATGTATTTTGATTCGATTGTTTTCACTTCTTGTTGAATAAAAAAAAAATCGCACTCCATTTTTGGTGTTGGTACACGTCTAATTTCCAGGTGACCGAAATGGAATCGTACCCGGAAACGACATCAGCCGCCTCCATAACCCCCATACCCTCCTCAACAGCAATAATAACACCTTCCGAAACATTAAATCCAACTCCGATGACCACCACTCCCGTTTTATCGTCAAAAATCACAACTCCGTTTGCGAAATTAGAAACTCTCCATGAAAAATCGCACGACAATGAAATTTGCGTCGATTTAAAAGCGTCGGATTCAAATTCCGATTTGTATAAGACCTCTTCGAGTACGCGTAAACGTAAGATGATGTCGCCGGATCGCGGGCAAAGTTTTATTAAAAGGAAACGAGATACGATGACGACGAGTTATAGTGAAAATGCGAAGAAAAAAATTTCGAATTTTTTAAAAAGTCACATTTTTGCGAATAATCGTAGAAGAACTTTGGATGGAACGGAAACTAGTTTTAATCAGGAAATTAGTTTTGACGAGGGGGCTAGTATCGCCTCGACTTCGGGCTTCTTTGAGGTTGAAACGATGGAGAAAACGATTGGGAGGATTAGTCTTACACCAAGTACGAGTAACTCAGCCCAACCGAAAAAAGCGAGAAAAAATTTGTTTTTACGAACGTTTAGTTCGTCGAAATTCAAACAACCCGCAAGCGCTAAGAAGCGGGATCATAAAAATGTAGAATTGGAGAATTCTGTGACGGATGGTAGCGGAGGGGATAAATTTTTAAATAATTCCTGTTTTCCTGATTTATCCTTTATTTCCGTTTCTGAGTACGACATCCGGGCGAACTGTACTAGTAGCAGGATGATGGATCAACATCATGGAAACTTTATTCATTGCGCGGTACTAACTTCATATTTTTCGTAAACTATATTTTTTCCTTTAGTTTTTTTTTTATTTGTTTTTGAAGAAAATGAAAACAAAATGATAAAATTAATAACGAAATTGAATGAATCATTTTTATTAATTAATTACGATTTAATTACTTTTTCATCTTTGTTTTTATCTTCTCCAAATTACAGTTTGATTGAAAACTCCTGATTGAACAATGTTTAATCCAAAACAATATTATTACATTATTATATTTTTTCTATCAATCGTTTTCGATCTTTCTGTAAATAATGAAATCATTATAACCATTATTTTATTCCTGTAGAAAATGCATGGATTAAAAAGAGAAAAACAAAATCGAAAAAGGTTCAAAATCATCGCTATATGTAACGTTAACGAATTTCCTTCTACAGGTTGTCGATGAATCTACCGTTGGTGAAAAACTGGAAGGACCCCCAAAAGCCCACATTGTCAAAGCTGAATGGTTTTGGACATCCGTACAAAAAGGCATCAGTTTAGAAGAAAAAGATTATTTATTCGGCGACGTAAGATATTTTCATTAATTTTTTTTTTAATATTTTTAATTTTTTTAATTTAATTTAGTATATCAATCAAGTTCTCTCACCGAATACCCGAAGAGATTCACACCAAGCAACGCCGAGCAGTGCCAGTCGGAGGAAACGGAAACGGCTCTACGAGACATTATCGTCTTTGGCTCAACAACAATCGCCAGGTTTACATAATAAACGTAGATCGTCAATTGTTAGTGACGCTGGATTGTTGTCAGTTTCGGGTTCGTTTTTGGACTGCACCGCCAGCCCTGACAAACCGGGCGATGTTGGGGGAGAACCCGCGATTCCTGATACTCCCAGAAAAGGACTCACAGCACGTCAACAGGTTTTCTTGGAACTCGTCCAAACAGAATCCAATTATGTCAACATCTTAAACATTATTATGACTGTAAGAAAATAATTTTATTTACAAATATGGGATGTGGAAAAAGTCAGTTAACCAATATTAGGAGGGATTAGGGTCAAAAAAATCAAAATTTTTTTGTCATATTTTGCAGTTATACAGAATGTATCTGAATGACATGCCTAAACTTCAGGGGGTGATTATTTAGGCAATTTTAAGGGTACTTTGATATATAAACCATGGGCGACTTGGGCTCCCCTAAGGAGCTACACCCCTCCAAAAATGGCGGAAAATTTTGGTTTAATTTTTTTTTTCTCAAAAACCATAAACGCTAAGACAACGAAATTTGGGGAATATGTTTAACTGGTAGTAGGGCACGTTTTCACCCTATTTGTACTTTCAACCTATCCTTCTAAACTACTAAACGTACATTTACCACCTTTACATTTTTGCTAAAATTTTTTATGCAGGCAAATACATTAAAAAAAAATTACATAGGTAGATGAAAGTATCCTAAAACTTTTTTGTCTCTCTAAAATTTTTCCAAAAACGACTAATTTTTGAGAAAAAAAATAATAAAGCAAACACTGCCCGTTCTTGGCCCGTTCAACAACGGGGTTGTCGATCAAAAGTTGGAATGAATTTATAATGAAAAAATCTTAGTAGGCTTTGCAATCTTTGTCAGAAATATTTTTGACGTATAAATGTCTGTGGTTTTCTTACTATTATTATTGTTTTTCAAATTAATTTATGAATAAAGTTCGACCGCATTTACGCTCGTTCACTCGACGTTTCAAAATTTTAAATAAAACAATAATAATAGTAAAAAAACCACTGACATTTAAACGTCAAAAATATTTCTGACAAAGATTGCCAAGCCTGCTAAGATTTTTTCTTTAAAAATTCATTCCATCTTTCGATTAACAACGCTACAGCTTAACAGTTAGTGTTTGCTTAATTAATTTTTTTCTGAGAAACTATTAACTTTTCGAAGAACATCAGAGAGGCAAAAAAGTTTTAGAATATTTTCGTCTATCTAAATAAAATATTTCCAATGTATTTATCATCTTCATAAAAAAGATCTAGACAAAAATTGAACGGGGGTGGTTATGTTTAGTAACTTAGAAGAGAAGATTGAAAGTACAAATAGGCTCGAAACATGTCCTATTATAAGCTAAACATATTTCCCAAATTTCATTTGCTTGGTGTTAATGGTTTTCGAGAAAAAAAAAATAAACCACAATTTTTCGCCATTTTTGAAGGGGCGTAGCTCCGCAGGGGAGTCGAATTCGCTGATAGTTTATATGAGAAAGAACCCTTAAAATTGCCTAAAGAATCACCCCCTGAAGTTTGGGCACGTCATTCAGATACCCTGTATACTTCGTAGAATATGTGTGTGTAAGTATATTAAAAATTCGTATTATTTTGGATAATATTGCGCATGAAACGTGATTCCACACAGTATTTGTGGAATACTGAAGGTACAAGCGATTTTCTTACTTGTCTTTACTCGAAACTTTAAAAAACGGGTTTTAGTCCATTCTGCTATATTTTATATCAATTTTTGTTATACAGGGTGTACAAAAAGTGTGGAATAATGGTTCTACAGCCCAAACTTCAACTTATACTAAAAAAAGTTTTAAATAAAAGTTACTTGAAACTATTTTCTGCATATCTTGGGGTAGAAATAAAATAAAAATGATGACGGCAGTCTGAGTTACGACATGGTGAGTGTGTTTTTTAAATGGAACACCCTGTATATTTTAAGGTTTTTGGGTTCCTTTTGACAACGTGTTGCAAAATGCCATAAGGTTTTAATGCTTTAAACTGGATAGTTTTCGAGATATTGAAACTTTTATTTAAAAAGATTTGAGGTAGCGACAACCAAATTATGGCGTCATTATGAAATAGACAACCTAAGCCTTGACGTCACAGGGATGGGCGGAGCTTAACCGACTCCAAACATCTTTGTTGCTAACGAAAAATCCGGATATANAATCGACATTGCCTTGATAATTCTGTTAAAAAACTCTTGTGTGACTCTCTCGTCTTATCACATTTTAATTATTGTGATAACATTTATGGTTCATTTATTGACTCCCGCCATCAACAGAAAATTCAAAAGCTCCAGAATTCCTGTGTCCGGCTGATCTTTGGGTTGAGAAAGTACGATCATGTCTCTTTTGCTTTTAAGAAACTTAAATGGATGAATATGAAGTCGCGTCGGTATGTTCACAAAGCATGTTTTTATTATAAGATTATTACGGAGCGGAGCCCCCCTTATCTATTCGACAGAATTAACTTTAGAACGGACGTACACAATGTCAATATCCGGTTCAGGGGTAGGTTAACTCCTCCTTCCCATCGTTTGGAATTTTTTAAGAGATGCTTCTCATATCAAATTACATCTGTTTATAATAATCTTCCTAAACATTTAGTGGGTCTACCCTTGAACCGATTTAAGAAATCTTTGCGGGACTGGGTTTTAGGTGTGTGACTGTGGGCTTGTGCTTGGTGACCTCGGGGGATGAGCTTCTTGTATGATATTATTTGGACACTCTATAGTATAGTATGTGTGGCTAACTAGTGTGCATGTTCGACATTAGCCTATGACGGTGCTCAGTTGTCATTCAATTTTTTTTTTAGTTTATTATTGTTTTTGATTTGGGTTTGAGTGGTAGAACAGGTATTACCTGAACTCCGCCTAAATTCAGGCTTTAATGTATTTTATTTTACTTTAGCATGTACTTATCATTTTCTTTACCTTTGTATATGTATAATATTTTTTTCTTTTTAAGTTTGTACTTGATGAAGCCTGAATAAAGTTATTATTATTATTATTNGTGCCATAAATAATTTGTTATTTTCAATAAACATCGGTTTTATGATTATATTTGATTGTTACAGACCTAAAATATCTATGAAAATGTCTATTAATATTAAAATAAAATAAACTAAGTGACATTTTAGATGACATTTTAAATGACATTTTAAATGATATTTTTATGGCGATTTATCTTAGCAACTGTGGTTAGCAACGAAATTGTTTGGAGTCGGTATAAGCTCCGCCCACCTCTGTGACGTCAGACTTAGGCAGTCTATTGAAAAATTGCATATGGGGATAAGGGGCAAAAACCTTTAAATATACAGGGTGTTCCATTTAAAAACACGCTCACCTTGTCGTAACTCAGACTGCCGTCAAGATTTTTATTTTATTTCTACGCCAAGGTATGCGGAAAATAGTTTCAAGTAACTTTTATTTAAAACTTTTTTTAATATAAGTTGAAGTTTAGGCTGTAGAACCATTATTCCATACTTTTTGTACACTATAAAACCTATATAGTGTTGACTTTCATACAAAACATACAGTGTGTTAATTAATTATCGTACCCGACGTCATCATAGCAAGTATGCAACCAATATCTCAGTGTAATACTCAAATCGCATATACTGTGATATTGGTTGCATACTAGCAATGATGACGTCGGGTACGATAATTAATTAACACACTGTACTTGCAAAAAAGTACAATGAATTAACAAACTACTATGGCTTGGGTTTCCAAAGACATTACTAGTTTATGGAATCAAAACTATTTGGAAGACTGAGACAGTTGGTGGGAATGGCGTACAGTCGAATCCGCAGGCAGATTTAACAATTTTCGTCGTTAAGTCCATCGCTGAGTTTACAGGTTTTCGAGAAATTAAGTTTCTGGGGTGCAGAATGGCAAAATAATAATAAGTAAAACATTAACATTGTAAAACGACAACAATAGAAGGTGCAGCAACTTTTTGGCTGTTATAATTTTTAATAACGTATTTATACTAATTTTGAAGCTTTATGGTTGACAATTGGCCAACAAGCAGAATTGCAAACGCACAGCCATAATGAGATCTGCATTAGCTGAGCAAGAATATGTTGCCCAATTTCACAAAAAATCCAAACAACGCATCACAGAGACAAAAGGACAAACTTGTATGTTATGTACGACCAGTAAGGAGGACCTTTATGGTCCTGCAATAGAAAATTTTAATAGTTGTATTTCAAAGTTTCCACAACATAATAGTTACAAATACTTCAATCGCGTTTTCTCGAAACAGCGTTTTGTTAACTGGTAACCATGATTACTCAAAAAGTTTTTGACAAAGTCTTCGTTGTCGTTGTAAAATTGTTGTTACAAAATATGACTAAATGCTCTTGAATGAGGTTTACTTGATAGGAATGATATTTTGCGGGTTTTAAAGTTTTGTGAACCGTTGATTTACTAATGTACAAATTACACCCAATAAAGGGGTATTGGGTGTAACTCAGCAAGAAGTAACATGAAGTAACATGAGGGTTTTCTTGCCCAGCTAAAACCACCTTTTGTTTAACCTCCCCTGAAACATTTGGTAGGCCACACTTCGAGAAATGCTTCAAGGGATGCACATGATTTTTTTATTTTTTTATTCCCTGGGCCATCTATCAGGGAGACAGTCAGATTCGATGGACCACCTCCTAGGGATTGATGGACCTCTGGTATACTTTACTAAATCAAGTTGTAACTCAAGAAATACAGGTTATTAGAAGCATCTTTGTGTATTCTGACAGAAAATAGAGTCTGGTATCACATGACATTCAAAAGGAATGATTCCATAGATTCTAAAACCACTAATCCCATTCTCTTAGTTTGCTGGCTTTCCTCAAGCTAAGCTAAGAAGCGCACTAAACTGCAGCCGGGTAATCTTCCTTTAGGGATTATTGGTCATGACGTTTTTTGATCCAGTCATTGTATTTTTTATTAATATCAGTTAACTGACTTTTACCACACCCTGTATATAATTTTAATCATAAATCTTTAATAATATATCTATAATGTCTTATATTTTAAATATTGATATAAAAAATTTCTATAGATGTTTAAAGAACAGTTAGAAAATTCGACAGATGAAGAAGCTTTATTAAATAATACAGAATTAAAAATAATTTTTGGAAATCTCCCACCGATTTATGAAACTCATTTGAAAATGCTCGAAGAATTACGGCGAATGTCCGCTTATTGGACGGAAGATAAAAGTATAGGAAGTATTATTTTAAAATATTCGACGGATCTCCTAAAAGCGTATCCACCGTTTGTAAATTTTTTTGAAGAAATGAAAAGCATGTTGGTGCATTGCGATCAAACGAAACCGCGATTTCACGCGTTTTTAAAAGCGTGCCAAACTAAGCCGGAATGTGGACGACAAAGTCTACAAGAACTCCTCATAAGACCCGTTCAAAGACTACCCAGTATAAGTTTATTATTAAACGACATTTTGAAAAACACCCCGAAAAATAACGCTGATCATGCCGCTTTAGAAAAAGCTTTAGCTTCAATTAGGGAGGTTATGAAACATATCAATGAAGATAAAAGAAAGACTGAAGGGCAAAGGGTTATGTTTGATATTTTTAACGAAATTGATAATTGTCCTGTAAGTAAAAACCCACATTTAATTTTTTTAATGATTTTTTATGTCAATCAATTCTTTTAGCCTGATTTAGTATCATCACATAGAAATTTTGTCGCAAAATCAGAAGTGATCCAATTGTCATCATCCGAAGGTTTATCAAGTAAAGGAAATCCCTTGGTGTTGTTTCTTTTTTCTGATCAATTGGAGGTGTGCAAAAAACGTTCGAAAGCTTTCAACACATTGAAATCGCCGAATACGGTTAATGGTGTCCATAAGAATTCATCAATAAAACCGTACAAACACGTCAAGTTGATGTCTTTGAGTACGATTAAACGGGTAATCGATATCAAAGAAACCGAAGATTGTCAACGAGTTTTTAGCTTGGTTTTTCGCAACACTGAAGAACTTAAAGAACGGGTTTGTTCATTTGCTATGACTGATGAAGAAAGCGATAAAGTTGCGTTCTTGAAAACTTTATGCAAACAAATGGCTACAAATGCTTGTACAGCAGATTCGGTATGCAACTAAATATGTAAAGATTTTGTGGATGATGTAGTTATTATGGCCCCTCTTCATTATGGCTCATGATTAGGGCACAGAACTTTTGTAACAAAACGATACGATTTTCCCCCTCCACTCGTTCTGATTAAATGAACATACTGTTCAGTGAGAAATTAAAATTTCAAGTTAGAAAAAAATTGTGTTAACAAAAATTGTTCCTGAAACAATTCTAAACAAACTTTGTCAACAATTTTTTTTGATTTAATCAATAATTAAGGAGATAACCTC